GGGATCATTCACTAGATAAGCAGCTGCACCGACATGGCGGCTTCTGGAGGCCGACGTCCAGCGACTTCTGGAGGCCGACGTCCTAGCGACTTCTGGAGGCCGACGTCCAGCGACTTCTGGAGGCCGACGTCCAGCGACTTCTGGAGGCCGACGTCCAGCGACTTCTGGAGGCCGACGTCCAGCGACTTCTGGAGGCCGACGTCCAGCGACTTCTGGAGGCCGACGTCCAGCGACTTCTGGAGGCCGACGTCCAGCGACTTCTGGAGGCCGACGTCCAGCGACTTCTGGAGGCCGACGTCCAGCGACTTCTGGAGGCCGACGTCGCGACGTCAGAGACTAACGTTTGTTGTTTTGTAGTTTACATGAGCTTGCCTTAAGTTTGAGGATTGCACTTTATGTTGTGTGTAGCACCCCTCCCCCATCCCAGCCACCATGAGCCCCCCCTGGGAAGCAGAGAATGGCACCACCAATGAAGAAGACAACCTTCCAATCTCGGCCCTGTCATGGTGGAGGACCAACGCCTGGAAGGAAACGGTTCAATGATGGGCCGAGTGGTCTGTGTGTGAGAGTAAAGAGCACCTGTCCTCCTAGAATGTAGTGATCACTCTCCTGTTGGAGCATGGCCGTCCTCCGAGGAGTTTTACTCGTCTTGTTTTCCAGTCGCCGGTGCCCCGGTGACGTCATGGTTTTAAAAATTGACTTAAATTCAGAAAATATTTTTAAATTAGAGATAAAAAAGTAGATGTAACTTTGTAACCCGATAGAACTGATGATCTGCGAGATCTGCACTTGGGTGGGCAGGGAGCACCGAATCCGCCTTTTCTGGGCTATTGACAGAATGTGAAGGACTGAACATGAGCCGGCCCTCGGAATGTGGCGGCGGATGACGATTCTGGTCTTCCAAATATCTGAAATCTAATAATGTGAATTCATAATAATTTCTCCAATAAAGTAATTTGTATAAGAGTGTCTTCTGTCCAGGGGAGGAGCCACTTCCTACCCGGGGGTCTCCTGCAACTCCTAATCATTCGGTGATTGGTGGTCATCATAGTGGGCGGAGCGGTGAAGGAGCGGGAGGCAAATAGGTTGGCAGTTGAGGATCTGTCTTGAGAAGTTCAATTATCTGCCATTCATTGAGTTGATGTGATCCTTTCCTGAAGACCACCATGAAGTACATGAGACAGATTCAGCCTCCTACCCAGTGCTGAACACCCCACGCACCATCCACCCTACGCAGTGCCATCCACCCCCTACACACCTGCACCCCATAAAGTGTTCTGTACACCCCATGTAGCACAATACCACCCTGGAAGTCATAGCTGGATCCCACACAGTGTGGACATCCTGTAATGTTACTTCAGACCCTACATCCCTATGGAACCCAGACCCTGAAGACCACCTTGGGGGGGGGTGAGCCCACCATGTTGGGTAAAGCCTGGACCATTATTTATATTTATATATATATATATATATATATGGATTGGTGACCTGGACAGGTACTGTAGCTTTACAGCAAGTATGAGAAATAAAGTGTAGCTCCAATCAAAAGTTCTGCTTTAAGGACATGTCCCCCACTCCCTGTGCAGGATCGGCACCTTTGGGAAGGAGGTAACTGATTTCGATAGGTGCCCACTCCAGTCATGATCACCTAGGTGATCAGGAGCAGACGTTGCTTTGCCAGTGCCATCACTTGAAGGTACATGCCTATAACCCGTGTTGTATGAGTATGTTCCTGTGTGTAGGAGTATAACTGTTAATGGTTGAACTGGATGGACTTTTGTCTCTTTTCAGCCAGACCAACTATGGAACTATATCTGGTAAAGCGCTGAGCAAACCATTGGCGCCATATCAATCCAGTAGAACAATAATTTGATTTGTAAGAATAAGTCACCTCCGTTGGGTGTCCTTCACGTGTTGCTGTTAAAACTTTATAACTATTAGAATTTTTTTTTTACATTTTAGAACAGATTGCCTCAGGACTGTCCATAAATTTAAAGGATGCCTTGATTTTGAAAGAAAGAAAAAAAAGTTGTGAAACATTGGCCTAGAACACATGAGACAAACTCCCAGATTGGAGCCAATCTTCATTCACATGCAAAATAGTGTGACTCAAAGCCTTGCCAAGCTGAAGCCGCCTGTAGAGGAGGACACCTCACACGCATGTTCTTTGAGGGAAGACTAGGTGAGGTACTGGACCAATTCAAAGATGTCACAGAAGGCAACGTCTTTCTGCAGCAGAAGATTCTAAACCCCTCAAGGGCTTCTACCTCCTGAAACAGAGCACCTCAGTGCTCAAAAGGCTTCAACTGCCAACCAAAATCCAGCTCTTCCTCTCGGTGTAAGACTTGGCCCACAATGCCCTTCAAATCTACCCCAATGAGGTGTGCCCTCACTCCTTAGATTGTGGTTGCACATTCACCCACCCCATCAGTGTTTTCTACTCTTTCACAGTTAGAGACATGATTTCCAGTTTGTTGTGCTGCCATTTGGCCAATCCTCTGCTTCTAAAGTAGTCACAAGGTCCTATCACCAGTTCTTGCCCCTCTGAGATCTCACAGCATCAAGGCCATCTAGATAACCTTCTCTGGAATGACTCCTCTTCCTTGCAGCCCTCTGGACATCCACAGGACCATTAAACCCTTCATGCTTTTGGTTGGGTGATCAGCTTTGCGTCTGCCCTCCATCCTCTTCCCTGGAAGACTTTGTGCTTCAGGCTCCTTTCACACAGCTATCAGCTCAGTCACAATTTTTGCCAAGAGGACCCCCCCCCCCCCAACCCCACCCACCCAATATGGATTCATGTTACATCAGTTTGCACATTTATCTCTCCAGCTCAGATCTTTTATCCACTGAGAGCACCGATTGGAAGCCGGACATGTTCCTTTGACAGGAGCTGGATAAACATCTGGCTTGTAAGACCAGCTGCTGTACACACCGGCTGATAGCACCCAACTCACCACCCTGGAGAGCACCAATCACTTAGACAACTTGTGAGGAGACCTCCACTGTACAAAATATCTCCCCCATTGAACACCCCACATTCACAGGTTTTTTTTTTTTTAAGTCCGCAAACGTGCAACTATACGAAAAAACCCGTAAGTGTTTCACAAAAAAGTGCAAGTGCAAAAACACCACACAAAAAGTGCACTTAGGGGTGTGCTGTGTCCTACCCCTAAAGGGGCTTGGACCACTTACCCTGATCCCCCGGGGCACGAAGCTCCTGACGGGGACAAGGTTCCCACTATCATTCACAGGTGCCATAGACAAGGTTGCTAAACTTTTCTTCTAATGCTCACCAAACCGCCTGCCCCTTGGACCCCATTCCCTCAAGTACTGCAGTCACCCTCTGGAGATGCAAGTTAAGACTGTAGAATAGAGCCAATCTCTCCCACATCTCTAACACATTCACTAGTCACCCCCATACTTGAGCCCGCACTAGAACTTCAATCTACACACCATCTCCTGCAGACGCCTCAAATGTTTGGAGTACCACCAACTGAGCAGCCATCTCACTGAGAACAACCTTCTCACTCTAGTCCAGACTGAATTTTGACCACACACTCAAAAACCAGCTGTCGGTATTCTGTAGTCCTGGACCTCTCTGCTGCCTTTGACACAGTGGACCACCCCCTCCTCCACTCAATTGGTCTGCAGAACTACTCTTCACCCTACCTGTCCCACCACACCTTCAGTGTCGCTTACAATTCTACATACTCTCCTTTTCCTGTTGGGTCTCCCAAGGTTCTGTTCTTGGACCTCTATTCTCAATCTACACCCTCCTCCCTGGGTCAGCTGATAGCCTCCAATGTCTTTCAATCTCATTTCTACTTTGACGACTCAAATCTATATCTCTACCCCTCAGCTCAGCCCATCAACTTCCTCATGCATCACTAATGTATTGGCCAACATAGCAGACTGGATGTCACACCACTTCCTCACACAAGCTGGAGCTCAATTTTGGATTGACAGCTCAACCAGTTTTCCCCATGCCAAGGTGCAATCCTGGCCTGACAGCAGTATTTGTGATAGCCCCACATCCTGGGGGATGAAGATTGAGCCTGAGAGTTCAGACTCATTCACCTTACCAACTGTTTAGGGTCTGCTACCCCCTCCATTCACTATCCTCCAGCCCTCCACCATTCCATCACAAAATTAAATTTGAGATACTAACAAAACCCTCCACAACTCAGCCCCAACACGAACCTGGGGACACATCCTTAAATCCTATGGAGCTCCCTACCCCAAGTCTGTCAGACCAATTCCTCATCTCTAATCCCTGAAAACCCTTCTTTGAAGAAGCCTATCCTTCCAATTTGGAAACACTTGTCCACAGCTCACCTCCCACAGCTCTGGTCATCACCTGACCCTCCCCCTCCTAGAGGGCCCTGCTTGTTGGACCTTACAATCCAATTCCTCTTGTACCAAGTCGTATCGTAGCCAACGTCAGCTTTCATTTTGTAAAGTGGTGCTCAAACTGTTGCCACTGTATAAATACTAGTTGTCCCCTCCTCACCACAGGACGGCCACAATTCTAGAGCAAGCCTCTTAGCAAAAATTGCTCTTGCTGGGACTGGAGATCAAATAGATGTTCTGTGCAAATCTGAGGTTGTGGGTCTCATGGTGACCTCCTTTGAGGCAGTGCCACGCCCCAATTTCATTTGAGAACTCTCCAACCTATCCTGTTGGCATGCAACAAGCAAGCATACCCCTTTCCCTGACCCGCTCCTGTCCAGCCAATCCCCTAGCTTGGTAGATCTCCAACCAGCCTCAGCATGAAGACCCAACCCAAGGCAGTGACCACATGGCTGGTGAGGCACGGCGGTTGTGACGTGGCCTGCAGAAGACGAATGCCGAGGTCTGCCTATGTATGACGAGGGTTTACTAGAACTTTACACAAAATACAATAAACTCTCCACGACCGATAAAAACAAAGCTTTATTAAAAACTATTTACAGAAGCACACAGTGCCAACACAGTAAAACATCGACGTCTGTACAGAGTTATGGCATCACAGCCCGCGCCAGCTCGGCAATGACCTCTGACCTCAGCTGAGGAATGGTGCTGATCTTCATCTGTTTGCTGCTACCATACTTGTTCTTCACAGTCTGCAGAAGAAAGTTCACATCACCATCATCTCAGAACCAGCAATGGGACCTCATTGGTCACGCTATACAATGCCTGGCAGAGACAGGGACTAGGGCAAGATTGACCCAGAACAGGAATGAGCCCCCCATTGGTGGCCTCCCTAGGAGGGTCATCCTTATCCTTCAACCCAAGACATGCATGCAGCCAGGTAAAGGGCAAGTTCAATTTTATGGAGGGGGAAGCACACCCACAAAAAACAAAATTTCCACCCACAGGACCCTGCAGAGCGTTGCACCCAGTGGACAGGTGCAATATCAGGCTCCTGCAAATGTCCTACAGCTGTGCAGGTCATCCATGTCATAGCTGTAGGGGTGGTGTGAATGGACTAAGGAGCCAAATCCGATCACTTGCAGTTGGTGAACACAAGTTTGTCTGCTGTGGTGAAGGAACTTTGATTCATTGTCAGGAATCTATGGAGGGGAAGCCAGAAGAGGATATCTGCTTGAAGAGACTACACCCCAAATATGAGCAACCGGGTCAAAAAGGTGACCCCAACCTTTAGACTAGATATAGATATTCTTGTTCCTGGGCAGTGAGCCCATAATGAAGGCCAATGACGAGCCCCAAGCCGGCCCTCACACCTATGTTCCCATATGAAGGAGATTAACAAACACCTACAGCCAGACACCAGAACCAACATGGGAGACGCATCCACACCCCACATGTGGGAGGTGCCGAGTACTCTCCTCCGAAGTAATGGGGTGGTCAGGAAATAACTGCAGGGACAGCCCACATTCTTTGTGCCACACGGGGGGGGGGGGGGGGAAACCACAATCACTTTATGTTCTTGTCAGTCCCACCTGAAGGGGAAGTGAAAACCCAGCAAGGGAATACTGAGGTGAACCAACATGGTGCACGGGTCATCAGTCCGCTACAGCAACCCCAATGACTATGTACAGAGCTATAGCCCCCCATAACTGTACAGAGCTATAGCCCCCCATAACTGTACAGAGCTATAGCCCCCCAAGTTTGCAGTATTGTGAAGCTCACCATGTGCTTTGTGAGTCCTTTGTTGACCCTCAGAACATTCTTGGCCATGTGCTGTATTATGGGGCGCAGAGAGTCTTCGGAATACATGGTGTAGTGTTGCAGCGTTGGCGTCTGGAAGAGATTTCTGTATTCAGAGCACAGCAGCAGCAGATATCAGATGGCGGCACAGGAGCCAGGCCAGGTACTTACCCAGTCCCCACCATTGAGGACCTTCAGGGACAGGCAGGATGCAGCAGCTGCGATCTGTGAGGGAGGATAATGCACCATCTCATAGTCCACCATGACCAGTTCTGTCAGATACTTGGCCAGACTGTGCTGCTCTGCCGTTACCTGCAAGAGATGATCACCCATAAGTCAGCGCAGACCTCACCCCCAACCAGCGCAGACCTCACCCCCAACCAGCGCAGACCTCACCCCCAACCAGCGCAGACCTCACCCCCACTATATACAGCTTATAGTACATGGCTGCAGCATCTGCCTCCCCCCATCAAAGTAGCCCATTTACAGGTTTTTATAGTCATTCCTCTGCTCTCAGACAGCTGAGCACCGGTGTGGCTCCATCCTGCCCTCCAATGGACCGAGTTACCTAGAAAGCCCTGGTTACCTCGCCAATCTTGGAGGCCCGACGGAGGAAGTGCAGGGGGAGGGGCCGGCCCATGGCAAATTTCAGGGCACGGAGAATCTTCATCTCCATCTCTCTGATCTGGGCCTTTGTGTAGGTGTGATCTGTCACAAAGGTGAAGTCCCCGATCTCCGGGGGATACATCTCTTCATACTTTGCAGCAAGAAACATGGCCGTCACCCCCACCAGCTGGAGCTGGTTCTTAGGAACTGGATGATCCTGAGCAAAGGAAAGGAAGGCAGTTAGACACCTGGAGGTTCCACATTGATCTGATACCTCACCACCAACCGTCACTCCCCCCCCCCCCCCACACTTGTCTTCACCAACCATCACCTCCCTCTGCCACCAACAAGCATTACCTGCAAAAACCGATCAATGATCCCAACCGTCATGAACATGGTTTCCTGCAGAAGGCGGAACTTCATCTGCACTTGGACCAGCCAGTCTATGAGAATCGCCCGCATGTTTCCCGTCACCTCCTGGCCTTGGAGATAGTTGGGCCTCACCGCCTGGGCTTCCTGAAGACAGGAGACCGAAAGCCACATTTACTCATCAATATACAGAGCCGATAAATACATCCATCTGCCCAGGAGGAACCCCGGAACCTGCAGTCTGAGGATGCCAACTAATGTGATGGCCAATCCAACCTACAAACCCGGCTCACCTCCAGACTCCTCAGATAGCAGTAGATGTCCTTCACATATTCACTGCACAGCATTGGGTTCCCATTGTCATCACCATCCACATCCTTCACCTGGATGAGGACATCTGAGAAGGCCTGGCACAGCTCATCCGGGTGGCAGCCCGACGTCTCCATTGGGCTGGGGGAGCCAGGAGCCTCTACCTGTGTGGTGAGAAGACGGTTAGGGGGGGACTGAACCCAATCTACAGAGAGTCCATGAGGTACAACACCCCCACACCCTAATGCCCCCCCCCCCCCCCCGTGATGTTCTCCACCCCCAGAGGTCCCAGGCGTGAAGCAACCCAGATGTGTGAATACTCCAGGTCCCACCCTACTCCATCACACCTGCACAGGCTGTGGCTTTGTACAGACGGCTTCCTCCTTCACTTTCTTTGGCTCCGGAATCTTCTCTGCCGGCTTCACTTTCTTTACGACTTTCACAGCCGGTTTCTGTTCCTAGAAGAGAGAGAATGTGGTGGTCTCCCGGAGCCGAGCAATTCTTCCATTCAGATCCACACCCCTCCCCCCAGCCAGATGTTACCTTCTTCAGGGGAATCTTTGTATCAGCTTTGTTCCCGATATCACCCAGGGCAGTGCGGGGCCGCAGTCCTGGCTTGGCCGCCATCTTCCCAACAACTGCATTCTTCATGTTATTTTCTGCATTGGACAGCATGTTCTGTAAAGAGAGTGCCTCCAGAATCAGGATACGTGCCTCCAGAATCACAGCCCCTCCCCCGCCTCAAGAATCAGGATCCGTGCATCCAGAATCACAGCCCCTCCCGACCTCAAGAATCAGGATCCCCCAAAATCAGCCCACCTCCAGAACACCCCACTACCTCCAGAATCAGGATACGTTCCTCCAGAATCACAGCCCCCTCCCCCGCCTCAAGAATCAGGATACGTGCCTCCAGAATCACAGCCCCTCCCCCGCCTCAAGAATCAGGATACGTGCCTCCAGAATCACAGCCCCTCCCCCGCCTCAAGAATCAGGATACGTGCCTCCAGAATCACAGCCCCTCCCCCGCCTCAAGAATCAGGATACGTGCCTCCAGAATCACAGCCCCTCCCCCGCCTCAAGAACCAGGAGCCCCGCCTCCAATCTACCACCCCCAGAACCAGGAGCCCCACCTCCAGTCTACCACCCCACCACCAGGATCAGAAGCCCATCTCCAGAACACCAACCCTACAAAAAAACTGCCCCCCCCCCCCCCCCAGAGAGGAGCCCACCTCAGGAATACCCCCCTAACCATCAGGGTGAAGCCCCACCTCCAGCATATACATTGTAAACAGCACATTGGAGGATTATATAGGTAGTAAATGGGGGGGGGGGGGGTACACAGTATGTAGGGATGACCATGGACTCCGGTCCCTCCTGTGTGACTCCTAGCCCCATAGCTCGGTATATTCTGCCCCCAAGTCATAGGAATGTTCTCAGCCAGTCCCCCCTCCCAAACCACCTTGGATGGGCCCGGGTCCTCTTCAGGGACCTCAGTGGCTAGTTCCTGGAGCCACCCCCCCTTTATACATTGTAATCAGTTCCTCCCAGAGTGCCGCCCCCCCCCCCCCCCACTAGAGCCATGAAGCCACCATCTGGCCTCTGACCTGCAGTTACCATGGTGATGCACATGTGATCAGCTATGGCAGCCTTTGGACAACTCAGGTGAGATCTCAGGACAGCCACCAATCACAGGAGGCCTGGAATGCCATTGGGGGAGGGGGAGGTGTAATATATATATATATATATATATATATATATATATATATTATATATATATATATATATATATATATATATATATATATATAATATATATATATATATATATATATACACACACACACACACACACACACATATTGCATATGGGGGGGGACTGGACACTACAGGGGTATACACGCTGTATATTGGGGGGGGCACACGCTGTATACAGCATTGTGCTCAATACAGGTCTGAAGGAGCCTACTGAGCATGCTCCGTAATGCATTACCCGCCCCCTTCACCTCCTACATCTGACTGCTCTCCAAGCGTCATTTGTGATGACATCCTGGACTCTACTTCCTGATCCTATAGACAGAGGGTGCTGCTGGACGGCCCACCTGATCCAATCACCCCCCCGATGGGCCTTTCTAACCGTTTATCTGGTGAGATTGCAATTCATCCATTTACTAAAGAAATGGTCACTACTGCACTTAGAGGCGCCGTCCTCTTTATACAGCCCAGAGTATATACAGAGGGGGGTATCCGGCACAGAGTATACACAGAGAGAGGGGGGGGGTATACGGCACAGAGTATACACAGAGAGAGGGGGGGGGTATACGGCACAGAGTATACACAGAGAGAGGGGGGGGGTATACGGCACAGAGTATACACAGAGGGGGGGGGGGGTATCCGGCACAGAGTATACACAGAGGGGGGGGGGTAATACGGCACAGAGTATACACAGAGGGGGGGGGGGTAATACGGCACAGAGTATACACAGAGGGGGGGGGTAATACGGCACAGAGTATACACAGAGGGGGGGGGTAATACGGCACAGAGTATACACAGAGGGGGGGGGGTAATACGGCACAGAGTATACACAGAGGGGGGGGGGGTAATACGGCACAGAGTATACACAGAGGGGGGGGGTAATACGGCACAGAGTATACACAGAGGGGGAGGGGGTAAAATACGGCACAGAGTATACACAGAGGGGGGGGGGGGTAATTTAAATACGCACAGAGTATACACAGAGGGGGGGGGGTATACGGCACAGAGTATACACAGAGGGGGGGGGTATACGGCACAGAGTATACACAGAGGGGGGGGGGTATACGGCACAGAGTATACACAGAGGGGGGGGGGGTATCCGGCACAGAGTATACACAGAGGGGGGGGGGGGTATCCGGCACAGAGTATACACAGAGAGAGGGGGGGGTAATACGGCACAGAGTATACACAGAGGGGGGGGGGGTAATACGGCACAGAGTATACACAGAGGGGGGGGGGTAATACGGCACAGAGTATACACAGAGGGGGGGGGGGGTTAGGTAATACGGCACAGAGTATACACAGAGGGGGGGGGGGCACGAGTAATACGGCACAGAGTATACACAGAGGGGGGGGGGTATACGGCACAGAGTATACACAGAGGGGGGGGGGTATACGGCACAGAGTATACACAGAGAGAGGGGGGGGGTAAATACGGCACAGAGTATACACAGAGGGGGGGGTAATACGCACACAGAGTATACACAGAGGGGGGGGGGTAATACGGCACAGAGTATACACAGAGGGGGGGGGGTAATAACGGCACAGAGTATTACACAGAGGGGGGGGGTAATACGGCACAGAGTATACACAGAGGGGGGGGGTAAAACGGCACAGAGTATACACAGAGGGGGGGGGGGGGGGGTAATACGGCACAGAGTATACACAGAGAGGGGGGGGGGGTAATACGGCACAGAGTATACACAGAGGGGGGGGGGGGGTAATACGGCACAGAGTATACACAGAGGGGGGGGGGGGGGGGGGGTATACGGCACAGAGTATACACAGAGGGGGGGGGTACGGCACAGAGTATACACAGAGTGGGGGGGGGGGGTAATACGGCACAGAGTATACACAGAGGGGGGGGGGGGGTAATACGGCACAGAGTATATACAGGGGGTGGGTAAATACGGCACAGGAGTATATACAGGGGGGGGTATACGGCACAGAGTATATACAGGGGGGGGGTAATACGGCACAGAGTATACACAGAGGGGGGGGGGGTTAATACGGCACAGAGTATATACAGGGGGGGGTATACGGCACAGAGTATATACACGGGGGGGGGGTGTACGGCACAGAGTATACACAGAGGGGGGGGGGGTAATACGGCACAGAGTATAATAGACAGAGGGGGGGGGTGTAATACGGCAGAGTATATACAGAGGGGGGGGGGGTAATACAGCACAGAGTATACACAGATGGGGGTCCGGGGGTTAAATACGGACAGAGTATACACAAGAGGGGGGGGGTAATAACGGTTGCACAGGTAATATATACAGGGGGGGTATACGGCACAGAGTATACACAGAGGGGGGGGGGTTATACGGCACAGAGTATCTAACACCACGAGGGGGGGGGGGGGGTAATACGTCACAGAGTTAACAGCTTGTGAGGTCACCGAGTATATACAGGGGGGGGTAATACGGCACAGAGTAATATCAGAGTATATACAGGGGGGGGTTAATAGGCACAGAGAGTATATATACGTGGTGGGGGGAATACGGGGGGGCAGAGGAGTCTCATATACGGCTATCTGTGGCCAGCGGTTACACGCTTTTCAGGTGGTACCATCTTCGGTCACCACGGGGTGATGCGGAGGGACATGTCGTTCGGTGCCGGTTCCGCCTCGGTATCCTTTCGCCGTTCCTCTCCGGGTCCTCTAGCGATGTCTGGTCATTAGTTTCCGGTTTCTCAACTTTAAGTCACCCGGCGGCGGCTCCTATTGGTCAGTTTTGAATTTCTCAGAGGCTTTCTCATTGGCTACTAGTGTGGCCAGCGGAATGCATTGCCCTGGAAACGGCGGGGGGCGGAGTCACAGCGTCCAGACAACAGCGTCGTGCATCCCTGTACACGGATCTCTCAGCGCCCCCGGCGGCCGCAATGGAAGTACACATCGCCCCCGGCGGCGACAGTGGAAGTAACACGAAGCGCCCCCCTCAGCGCCCCGGCGGCCGGCAATGGAAGTACACATCGCCCCGGCGGCGGCCACGAGTGGGAGTACACGAAGCCCTACAGCGCCCCCGGCGGCCGGCAATGGAAGTACACAAGCATCAGCGCCCCCGGGCGGCCGGCAGTGGAAGTACACATCGCCCCGGGCGGCGGCAGTGGAAGTACACGAAGCACTCAGCGCCTCCTCCCCGCGGCCGACAGTGGAAGTACTCGGAGCTCAGAGGGACAGGTAGGAAGCGGAACGTTTTGTGCGAGTCTCGCTGTTTCCGGTCGGATCGGATGTGTCCGGAGGGGAAAATGGCGTCCGCCTTGGTGCAGATGAGTCTGGGGTTCCGGGGTTTCCTGGCGGTGAGGAGCCGGGTCGGAGGTCCGGGGCCCCTGGGGGGTCTGTGGCTGCAGATGAGGGTCTTCTCGGTTGAGGAAAATCCGTTCTACAGTAAATATCGGCGGAAGATCGAAGACCTGAGAAGGTGTGTGTACGGGCTGAGGGGCGGGGCCTGATGGGAATGTACAATATAGATGTAAATGGATGGCGCTATATATACTGAAATAAATAAATATGGGGGGGGGATCGGGGAGGGTCAGGGTCTGGGCTGTGATTGGAGCGCAGTGTGGAGGGTCTGGGCTGTGATTGGAGCGCAGTGTGGAGGGTCTGGGCTGTGATTGGAGGGCAGTGTGGAGGGTCTGGGCTGTGATTGGAGGGCAGTGTGGAGGGTCTGGGCTGTGATTGGAAGGCAGTGTGGAGGGTCTGGGCTGTGATTGGAGGGCAGTGTGGAGGGTCTGGGCTGTGATTGGAGGGCAGTGTGGAGGGTCTGGGCTGTGATTGGAGGGCAGTGTGGAGGGTCTGGGCTGTGATTGGAGGACAGTTTGGAGGGTCTGGGCTGTGACTGGAGGGTCTGGGCTGTGATTGGAGGGCAGTGTGGAGGGTCTGGGCTGTGATTGGAGGACAGTTTGGAGGGTCTGGGCTGTGATTGGAGGGCAGTGTGGAGGGTCTGGGCTGTGATTGGAGGGCAGTTTGGGCTGTGATTGGAGGCATGTTTGGCTCTGGGCTGTGATGGTGGTGGGGGGTCCTAGAGAATAAAATGGTGGGAGTTGGCACAGTTGGTCACGGTACTTTCAGCCGTTGTTCAGGCCTGATTGGCTGTCGGCGCAGAGAACGCGATGTAATTGGCGGAGTTCCAGTAGAATATAGGGGATGATGGTCGTTGTGGGTGGAGATTGGCTCCGATCTGTGGGAATGGGGGCCCGAGTGCAGTACATGGATTCCTCCATAGGGGGCGCTATAAAAGGCTTCCCAGCTCCTAGAGATGAAAGAGAAGTTCCCCGTATAAACGGCGATGTCTGAGCCGGGAAAAATCTGTAGAAAGCTCCTCCTCTTGTGAGACCCCCCTCCCCCCCAATCCTCCTCTGTAGGGGCGCGGGAATGGCGACTCTGACATCAGCGGTGATGGAATCCTCGTCTCTTCCAGGTTCCTCCATCTCCTCTGTGGGGAGCCTTCCAGCTGCGGGGTCCCCAGAGGATCATAGAAGGGCCCTTCCACAGGTGCCTGCCTACATGATGGGGGGGGCCTATAAATCCTCCAGGATCACTTTCCCTGGAACACCGAGATCTTTGCAGCTCCGCCATCTTCCCGGCACAAACCGCCAGACGCGGCCAGATGTTCCACACAGCAGGCAGGAAGAGGTTAAACCGTCCGCATCCAATTCAGGGAAACGTACAGAGGGGGCGCCGTTCTTCTCTTCTACAGCCCCATGATGTGGCGGCAACAGATCCCAGAAATCACCAGGAGACTCCACCCCCACCCACTGAGTGCACCCTCATGCTGCACCCTCCCCCCATCACCGGCACGCTGCAACCTCCCTCCCTCCCTCCCCCATCACCACGCTGCAACCTCCCTCCTTGCCCCCCCCCCATCACCACGCTGCAACCTCCCTCCCTCCCCCCCCCATCACACGCTGCAAAACCTCCCTCCCTCCCCCCCCCCATCATCCACGCTGCAACCTCCCTCCCTCCCCCCCCCCATCACCACGCTGCAAACCTCCCTCCCTCCCCCCCCATCACCACGCTGCAACCTCCCTCCCTCCCCCCCATCACCAGATCCGCTGCAACCTCCCTCAGCCCCCCCCCCCCCATCACCACGCTGCAACCTCCCTCCCCCCCCCCTCCACCCGCTGCAACCTCCCTCCCCCCCCCCCCCTAACAGCGCTGCAACCTCCTCCCTCCCCCCCCATCACCACGCTGCAACCTCCCTCCCTCCCTCCCCCCATCACCACGCTGCAACCTCCCTCCCTCCCTCCCCCCATCATCACCACGCTGCAACCCATCACCACTGCCCTCCCTCCCCCCCCATCACCCACGCTGCAACCTCCCTCCCTCCCCCCCCCATCACCACGCTGCAACCTCCCTCCCTCCCCCCCCATCCCACGCTGCAACTCAACCTCACCTCCCTCCCCCCCCCATCACCACGCTGCAAACCTCTCCCCCCATCACCCCCCCCCCTCACCACGCTGCAACCTCCCTCCCCCCCCATCACCACCCTGCAACCCCTCCCTCCTCCCCCCCATCACCACGCTGCAACCTCCCTCCCCCCCCCATCACCACGCTGCAACCTCCCTCCCCCCCCCCATCACCACGCTGCAACCTCCCCCCCCCCCCCCCCATCACCACGCTGCAACCTCCCTCCCTCCCCCCCCATCACCACGCTGCAACCTCCCTCCCTCCCCCCCATCACCACGCTGCAACCTCCCTCCCTCCCCCCCCATCACCACGCTGCAACCTCCCTCCCCCCCCCCCCATCACCACGCTGCAACCTCCCTGCCCCCCCCATCACCGCTGCCCCCCCTCTCCCCCCATCACCACGCTGCAACCTCCCTCCCTCCCCCCTGCCATCACCACACCTACTGCACCTCCCCTCTCTCTCCCCACCCCCCCCCATCACCACGCTGCAACCTCCCCCCTCCCCCCCATCACCACGCTGCAACCTCCCTCCCTCCCCCCCCCTGACACCCGCTGCAACCCTCCCTCCCTCCCCCCCCCATCAACTGGAATGCAACCCTCCCCTTTCAGGGACCCCCCCCCCTTCACCACGCTGCAACCTCCCTCCCTTCCCCCCATCACCACGCTGCAACCCTCCCTCCCCCCCTCCCCCCCCATCCCCACGCTGCAACCTCCCTCCCCTCTCCCCCATCACCCACGCTGCAACCTCCTCCCCCTCCCCCCTCATCCTCCGCCTGCAACCTCCCTCCCCCCCCCCCCCCACCACGCTGCGGGTGGAACCTCCCTCCCTCCCCCACCCCCCCCCTTCACCACGCTGCAGTCCTCCTCCCCCCCCATCTCCACGCTGCAACCTTCCTCCCTCCCCCCCCCCATCACCACGCTGCAGTCCTCCCTCCCTTTCGCCCCCCATCACCACGCTGCAACCTCCTCCCCTCCCCCCCATCTACGCTGCAACCTCCGGGCCCTTCCCCCTCACTCGCTGCAACCTCCCTCCCTCCCCCCCTTCTGCACGGGTGGACGCTGCAACCTCCCTCCCTCCCCCCCCATCACCGGCGCTGCAACCTCCGGGCCTCCCTTCTCCCCCCCCCAGTCACCCACGCTGCAACCTCCCTTCTGCCGTCCCCCCGCCCCATCACCACGCTGCAGTCCTCCCTCCCTTCCCCCCCCATCACCACGCTGCAACCTCCCTCCCTCCTCCGGGCCCCTTCACCGCTGCAACCTCCCTCCCCTCCCCCCCCCAACATCACCACGCTGCAACCCTCCCTCCCTCCCCCCCCATCACCACGCTGCAACCTCCCCCTCCCCCCCCCATCACCACGCTGCAACCTCCCTCCCTCCCCCCCATCACACCACGCTGCAACCTCCTCCTTCCTCCACGGCGGGTGGAGTCCTCCGCCCCCTTCACCACGCTGCAACCTCCCTCCCTCCCCCCCCATCACCACGCTGCAACCTCCCTCCCTCCCCCCCATCACCACGCTGCAACCTCCCTCCCTCCCCCCCCATCACCACGCTGCAACCTCCCTCCCCCCATCACCACGCTGCAACCTCCCTCCCCCCCCCCCCATCACCACGCTGCAACCTCCCTTCTGCGCCCCTTCTGCGGCGGGTGGAGTCCTCCGGGCCCCTTCGGCGGCGGGTGGAGTCCTCCGGGCCCCTTCGGCGGCGGGGAGTGGAGTCCTCCGGGCCCCTTCGGCGGCGGGTGGAGTCCTCCGGGCCCCTTCGGCGGCGGGTGGAGTCCTCCGGGCCCCTTCGGCGGCGGGTGGAGTCCTCCGGCCCCTTCTGCGGCGGGTGGAGTCCTCCGGCCCCTTCGGCGGCGGGTGGAGTCCTCCGGGCCCCTTCGGCGGCGGGTGGAGTCCCAGCACAATGAGAATCAGATATTCATTTCTGCTCTCAGGTCTGACCCGGCTGTGTTTGAGGCTCGGATGGAGAAGAAGACGGAGATGACGTTGTGGCCCCCGGACTCCTCCAAACAAGCTGAGTTCGCCCGCAGGGTGGAGCAGAGGGTGCGTCCCCCAATATCACCTCCCTAGACAGTGGTGGAGGTGTGACTGTCTCTATATAACAATCTGTTTGTCCCTCCCCCGCAGGTGGGATCATCCAGAGCAAAACACAAGGAATAAGGTGAGTCATGTGACCAGCACTCAGCTCCTCCCGGCACACGGGCCGGCTCCTCCCCAGTGGCCCCAGTACATGGACTGATGGTCCCACCAATGGTGACCTTCCCTCGTTTCATCATTCTGTCTTAAAGTTTTCCTAAACAGCCTCATCCGAGCCATACTGTCAGTAATAACTGTCGCAGTTGCTTGTGCTCTCAACCAAACTGTCAAGCCATCCAATGGCTGGCGTCATAGCTGACCACGTGCAGCACCATGGCAGCTGCAGATCATACAGAGGGAAAGATGGCGGCTTCCTTGGCTGTGAAGGACAGGAAGGTTTAGTTCCAGTTTATCACGGCGGCGGTCGGTTTCCTGAGTCCCCATCATACAGTCTTCCCTCCCGGTGATCCTGCCAGTAAGTCAGTTGTTCTTTAACTTCCTGTGACAGACCGAGCCATCCACTAAGGTGTCTGAGGGTTGGGACAAACCATTTTCACTGATGGGGGGGTTGGGGGAGGAGGTTGCTCACACTGGTCAGATATTCACCTGTCACAGCCAGAATCAGCAGATCCCAGCCAGCCATAGGATCAGCAGCAGGGAGCCACCAATTCCAATTAGGGCGTGGTCAGGTTCCGATCAGGGCGTGGTCAGGTTCCGATCAGGGCGTGGTCATATTCCAATCAGGGCGTGGTCAGGTTCCAATCAGGACGTAGTCAGGTTCCAATCAGGGCGTAGTCAGGTTCCAATCAGGGCGTAGTCAGGTTGCGATCAGGGCATGGTCATATTCCAATCAGGGCGTGGTCATATTCCAATCAGGGCGTGGTCAGGTTCCGATCAGGGCATGGTCATATTCCAATCAGGCGTGTGGTCAGGTTCCGATCAGGGCGTAGTCAGGTTCCAATCAGGGCGTAGTCAGGTTCCGATCAGGGCATGGTCATATTCCAATCAGGGCGTGGTCAGGTTCCGATCAGGGCGTGGTCAGGTTCCGATCAGGGGCGTGACCAGGTTCCAATCAGGGCGTGGTCAGGTTTCGGTCAGGGCGTGGTCAGGTTCCAAACCATACACCTGGATTGTGTGTGGAGGAATCTGTTGGTTGTTTTATGGTTCAGCCCCGCTGATTGGAACAACACAACCCATCTATGGGCCGCTTCAAATGTCATTTATTGTATGGGGGCGGGGTAGACAGAGGTGGGGCTTTGTGGATGGGGGATGTAATATGACACCGCCAGAATATGGGGGGCGGAGCACAGTCCGGTATGATATATTCCAGATGTCTTCATCCTAGGAACAGGAAGGGTTAATTCCACCCACTGTGTGTACCACCCCCCACTAGACTAGAACGTACCGCCCCCCTTCCCCCCAGGCTGATCGATGGTGTCTTTCCTTCGCAGACTCTGAACTCCGTCCTGAACCTGGATCTGGTGAGAGAGAAGAGTGCTGATGAGATAACACAGGTGGGAAGACATGGGGGGAGGGGACACAAAGGGGGAGGAGTCATGGTAGGAGGGTCTACAGCCATGTGGAGGAGGCAACACATTTAGAGATGAACACGGGAGGAGGAGCCTATAGTCACATGGATAAAGAGGGACATTCGGGGAGGGTTCTGTGGGTAAGGAGATGACTCATGGGGAGGGTCCTATAGTCACATGAAGAAGGTGGGGACACATGGGGGAGGGATCTGTAGTCACATGGGTAAGGAGATGACACAGGGGGAGGGGCCTATAGTCACATGAAGAAGGCGAGGACACACATGGGGGGAGGGATCTGTGGTCACATGGGTAAGGAGAGAGGACACGGGGAGGGGCCTATAGTCACATGAAGAAGGCGAGGACACATGGGGGGGAGGGATCTGTGGTCACATGGGTAAGGAGAGGACACGGGGAGGGGTCTATAGTCACATGAAGAAGGTAGGGACACATGGGGGGAGGGATCTGTAGTCACATGGGTAAGGAGATGACACAGGGGGAGGGGCCTATAGTCACATGAAGAAGGTAGGGACACATGGGGGGAGGGATCTGTAGTCACATGGGTAAGGAGAGGACACGGGGAGGGGCCTATAGTCACATGAAGAAGGTAGGGACACATGGGGGGAGGGATCTGTAGTCACATGGGTAAGGGGAGGACACACGGGGAAGGGCCCATGAAGAATGTGGGGGAGAGGGGGTCTATAGTCACATGAAGAAGGCGGGGACACATGGGGGAGGGGTCTATAGTCACATGAAGAAGGCGGGGACACATGGGGGAGGGGTCTGTAGTCACATGGGGAAGGAGGGGACATGCAGGGGAGGAGTCTATAGTCACATGGAGAAGGATGGGACACATGGGGGAGGGGTCTGTAGTCACATGGGGAAGGAGGGGGGACATGCAGGGGAGGAGTCTATAGTCACATGTAGAAGGCGGGGACATGGAGGAGGAGCCTAATTTTTTGTGTGTGTGTTTTTGTCCTCAGATTTGGAAGGAGTTCTTTTCCATGAAGGATGCGGTGTACGCCATCGTTCCGGTGAGTTCCATCTCTATGTCTCCCCCAGTACTGGAGTCTTAGTACTTAGTAGTATGGGGGGATACCACTGGTCACATGGAGGAGGGACAGTGACACTGCATGGGGTGTGTATGGGGGGATAGCACTGGTCACATGGAGGAGGGACAGTGACACTGCATGGGGTGTGTATGGGGGGATAGCACTGGTCACATGGAGGAGGGGGACAGTGACACTGCATGCGGTGTGTATGGGGGGATAGCACTGGTCACATGGAGGAGGGGCAGTGACACTGCATGGGGTGTGTATGGGGGGGACAGCACTGGTCACATGGAGGGGAGGAGGTCACATTCCATGGCGATGTGTGTAAGGGGAGGGGATAGCTCTGGCCACATGGAGGGGTGGAGGTCACACTCCATGGTGATGTATGGAGGGGAGGTTACATGGAGGGGAGGAGGTCACACTCCATGGTGATGTATGGAGGGGAGGTTACATGGAGGGGAGGAGGTCACACTCCATGTTGATGTGTGGGGGGGGGGGGGGAGGATAGCTCTGGTCACACGGAGGGGAGGAGGTCCCACTCTACAGTGAGGGGACAGAAGTATTTAAACGCCCTGCGATTCTGCAAGTTCTCCCACTTCTCCATCATGGAGGGTCTGACATTCACATTGCAGGGGATTCCCACTCTGAGGACAGAATTCAGGAGATCACATTGCAGGGGATTCCCACTCTGAGGACAGAATTCAGGAGATCACATTGCAGGGGATTCCCACCCTGAGGACAGAATTCAGGAGATCACATTGCAGGGGATTCCCACTCTGAGGACAGAATTCAGGAGATCACATTGCAGGGGATTCCCACCCTGAGGACAGAATTCAGGAGATCACATTGCAGGGGATTCCCACTCTGAGGACAGAATTCAGGAGATCCCATCGTATGATTTGTATGTATTTGTCTCGCACGGCGGCTGAACAGAAGGATTTGAACCCCTGAGAAGATCCGTGTTAATATTTGGTACAGAATCCTTTGTCTGCAATTCCAGAGGTCAGACGGTTTCCTGTAGTCCTTGGCCAGCCAGGTTTGCACTGCAACAGGGATTTTGGCCGACTCCTCCACACCGATCTCCTCTAGATCTGTCAGGTTTCGGGGCTGTCGCTGAGCAACACGGAGTTTCAGCTCCTCCAAAGAGGTTCTATTGGATTTAGGTGTGGAGACTGGCTAGGCCACTCCAGAACCTCGATATGCTTCATTACGGGGCCACTCCTTGGTTCTCCTGGCTGTGTGCTTCGGGTCGTTGTCATGTTGGAGGACCCAGCCATAACCCATCTTCAATGCTCTGACTGAGGGAAGGAGGGTTGTTGCTCAAAATCTCCCAATAAATGGCCCCATTCATCCGCTCCTTAATACAGTGCAGTCGTCCTGTCCCCTTCGCAGAAAAGCACCCCCAAAGCATGATGTTACCACCCCCATGCTTCACAGTAGGGATGGTGTTCTTGGGATGCAACTCATCCTTCTTTTTCCTCCAAACACGACGAGTGAAGTTTAGACCAAAAAGTTCTACTTTGGTCTCATCTGACCACATGACTTCCTCCCATGCCTCCTCTGACCACATGACTTTCTCCCATGCCTCCTCTGACCACATGACTTCCTCCCATGTCTCCTCTGCATCATCCAGATGGTCATTGGCAACCTTCAGACGGGCCTGGACATGTGATGACTGGAGCAGGGGAACCTTCAGACGGGCCATGACATGTGATGACTGGAGCAGGGGAACCTTCAGACGGGCCTGGACATGTGATGACTGGAGCAGGGGAACCTTCAGACGGGCCTGGACATGTGATGACTGGAGCAGGGGAACCTTCAGACGGGCCTGGACATGTGATGACTTGAGCAGGGGAACCTTCAGACGGGCCTGGACATGTGATGACTGGAGCAGGGGAACCTTCAGACGGGCCTGGACATGTGATGACTGGAGCAGGGGAACCTTCAGACGGGCCTGGACATGTGATGACTGGAGCAGGGGAACCTTCAGACGGGCCTGGACATGTGATGACTTGAGCAGGGGAACCTTCAGACGGGCCTGGACATGTGATGACTGGAGCAGGGGAACCTTCAGACGGGCCTGGACATGTGATGACTGGAGCAGGGGAACCTTCAGACGGGCCTGGACATGTGATGACTGGAGCAGGGGAACCTTCCATGCAATGCATGATTGGAAACCATGACGGCGTAGTGTTCTACTGACAGTGACCTGTGAAACTGTGGCCCCGGCTCTCTTCATGTCATTGACCAGCTCCTCCCTTGTAGTTCTGGGCTCCTCCCCTTTCTTCTCATCAGTGATCCCCCACGAGGTGACATCTTGCATGGAGCCCCAGTCCGAGGGGACACTGACAGTCGTCTTTAGCCTCTTCCATTCTCTAACAATTGCTCCAACAGTTGATCTATTTTCACCAACTGCTTGGCAATTGCCCCGTAGCCCTTTCCAGCCCTGTGGAGGTCCACAATTTTGTCTCTGGTGTCTTTTGACAGCTTTTTGGTCTTGCCCATGGTAGTAGTTGGCGTCTGACTGACTGTGGGGTGGACAGGTGTCTATAGAGCTCAGACAGGTGCTACTAAGTGAGATGAATGAGTGGAGTAGAGGGGGGCTTTATAAAGGGGCAGTAACAGGTCTTTGGGAGCCAGAATTCTTGCTGCTGCTTCTCAGGGTTCAAATACTTCTGTTCAGCCGTGCGAGACAAATACATTCTTTACAAATCATACAATGTGATCTCCTGAATTCTGTCCTCAGAGTGGGAATCCCCTGCAATGTGATCTCCTGAATTCTGTCCTCAGAGTGGGAATCCCCTGCAATGTGATCTCCTGAATTCTGTCCTCAGAGTGGGAATCCCCTGCAATGTGAATGTCAGACCCTCCATGATGGAGAAGTGGGAGAACTTGCAGAATCGCAGGGGGTTCAAATCCTTCTGTTCCTCACTGTATGCTGATGTGTAGGGGGGGAATAGCTCTGGTCACACGGAGGGGAGGAGGTCACATGGAGGGGGGAGGAGGTGACACTCCATGTTGATGTGTAGGGGGTAATGTGGGGGAAGAATCCCCCGATGACTGTCCCAGGTCTCTCCTTCAGTCCTGTATACGATCCTGCTCTGTGCTGAGCCCTGATGGAGGCCCCTGCACCCCCTGCAGTGTGTTGGCTACAACTGAACAGGTTGGTTCCTCCCTGACGTCTCCTGGTTGAGGGATTCTTCCATGAAGCAGCCAGTAGATGAAATGGCGGGTGGAATGTAAACACTGACCTGATTCCCCCCTCCAGACTTTGGAGGTGAATGGGGGAATCCTCCCGGTGACGCATGCCACCATTGCAGCACTGATCAGAGCTACAGGCTGTAGCCGGCAGCACTGATTGATTGGAGAAGATCCGACAGGCTGGTTGTACAAAGCTGATTAGTAGACTGACTTCTGTCCTTGGATCGAACGCTGACCCCTCCCTGCTGAACCCTCTGGACTCTGATCCATGTACGGTTGGCTGGTTGTACAGAAGTCAGTCTACCAATCAGCATCTGTAGATCCAGCCTGTCGAATCGTCCCCAATTGATCAATGCTGCCGGCTATAGCCTGTAACTCTGATCAGTGCTGTGATGGTGGGGAGGATTCCCCCATCCACCTTCAATGTCTGGATGGGGGAATCAGGTCAGCTACCCGCTGGTTGAACAAAGAGTGAGTCCTCTATTGGTGCTTTAGTCTATCCCTTCCCATCATCCTCTGCACTTATCAGCCAATAGGGTCAGGCCATGGACTCCATATCCTCCATCATTGTGTAGACAACACAGCTCCACCTACAGATGTGGTTGAGGTACTGCAGTCTGTAGAGCTCTAGATGCCTCATTTCCTCTGGTGGTCTCCTTCCTGCCGCCGTGGAACTGCTCTGACCTTCTTCTCTTTTTTCCTCCAGGGAGAAACCTTCGATGTGATCTGGACAAGGGCCCAGAGCTGCCCTGCGGTGAGTTGCCTTCACCTCTGAGGCCATTTCAGTGTTCGTTATATGAGTGACACCCCCATCTGTGAACTGCGGCCCCCAGAGATGGAAGTGATTGGCTCCCGTGTTCCGGGACCGGCAACAATGGCCAACATTCTGCTGCTTCACTCTTGTTTTCTCTCTTCCAGTTCCTGTATGCCCTGCCGCGGGCGGAGGGCTACGAGTTCTATGTGGGTCAGTGGTCAGGAACGGAACTTCACTTCACCTCTCTGATCAATATCCAGGTGAGGGCATCAGTCTGGGAGGGGGGGCCACAGGCAGGCGCTATGATCAATAGTAGACCACAGATCACATAGTAGATCACAGATCGTAGCACAGGGCACAGATCATAGATCACATAGTAGACCACAGATCGTAGATCACATAGATCACAGGGCACAGATCGTAGATCACAGGGCACAGATCGTAGATCACAGGGCACAGATCGTAGATCACAGGGCACAGAGGGGTTATTCGTGACTGCTTGGGTTATGTTGCAACCTCCCATCTCTGCGAACCCTGAGCTTTGGTCCAGTGCCTGAAGGCGAGCGAACCCTGAGCTTTGGTCCAGTGCCTGAAGGCGAACCCTGAGCTTTGGTCCAGTGCCTGAAGGCGAACCCTGAGCTTTGGTCCAGTCTCTGAAGGCGAACCCTCAGCTTTGGTCCAGTGCCTGAAGGCGAACCCTCAGCTTTGGTCCAGTGCCTGAAGGCGAGCGAAACCTGAGCTTTGGTCCAGTGCCTGAAGGCGAGCGAACCCTCAGCTTTGGTCCAGTGCCTGAAGGCGAGCGAACCCTCAGCTTTGGTCCAGTCTCTGAAGGCGAACCCTCAGCTTTGGTCCAGTCTCTGAAGGCGAACCCTCAGCTTTGGTCCAGTGCCTGAAGGCGAACCCTCAGCTTTGGTCCAGTGCCTGAAGGCGAACCCTCAGCTTTGGTCCAGTGCCTGAAGGCGAACCCTCAGCTTTGGTCCAGTGCCTGAAGGCGAACCCTCAGCTTTGGTCCAGTGCCTGAAGGCGAACCCTCAGCTTTGGTCCAGTGCCTGAAGGCGAACCCTCAGCTTTGGTCCAGTGCCTGAAGGCGAACCCTCAGCTTTGGTCCAGTGCCTGAAGGCGAACCCTCAGCTTTGGTCCAGTGCCTGAAGGCGAACCCTCAGCTTTGTGTCCAGTGCCCTGAAGGCGAACCCTCAGCTTTGGTCCAGTGCCTGAAGGCGAACCCTCAGCTTTGGTCCAGTGCCTGAAGGCGAACCCTGAGCTTTGGTCCAGTGCCTGAAGGCGAACCCTGAGCTTTGGTCCAGTGCCTGAAGGCGAACCCTGAGCTTTGGTCCAGTGCCTGAAGGCGAACCCTTTGGTCCAGTGCCTGAAGGCGAACCCTGAGCTTTGGTCCAGTGCCTGAAGGCGAACCCTGAGCTTTGGTCCAGTGCCGAAGGCGAACCCTCAGCTTTGGTCCAGTGCCTGAAGGTGATGGACTTTTCCCGAGCCTCTGTGGAGATCTCTTCTGTTATGGGACCTGTTCCTACTTCTCTGGGCCTCTCTGGGCAGAGGTGGGCCCTATCTGGATCGGTCACTATGGCAGGCAGGTGAAGAGCGACTGTAACCGGAGACCGCATGCAAGAGCAGGGACAGCCTGTAATGTCTGCTGACCGACTCTGGATCGGCATCATCCTCCCATGTACAGTGTACACGGTGATCTCACTGGCCGGGTAATCCTGCTGAAGGCACTGTGGAGCATGCTCACCACGATTGGTGAAGTCTGGGCCAGATGGCCCTGCATTGTGGATGGGTGAGTTGTGGCAGCCTCCTCCTGCTGGAGTCCTGCAGTGTGGATGGGTGAGTTGTGGCAGCCTCCTCCTGCTGGAGTCCTGCAGTGTGGACAGGTGAGTTGTGGCAGCCTCCTCCTGCTGGAGATGTGCAGTGTGTGACGGGTGAGTTGTGGCAGCCTCCTCTTGCTGGAGTCCTGCAGTGTGGACGGGTGAGTTGTGGCAGCCTCCTCTTGCTGGAGTCCTGCAGTGTGGACGGGTGAGTTGTGGCAGCCTCCTCCTGCTGGGAGTCCTGCAGTGTGGATGGGTGAGTTGTGGCAGCCTCCTCCTGCTGGAGATGTGCAGTGTGGACAGGTGAGTTGTGGCAGCCTCCTCATTCTGGAGTCCTGCAGTGTGGATGGGTGAGTTGTGGCAGCCTCCTCTTGCTGGAGTCCTGCAGTGTGGACGGGTGAGTTGTGGCAGCCTCCTCTTGCTGGAGTCCTGCAGTGTGGACGGGTGAGTTGTGGCAGCCTCCTCCTGCTGGGAGTCCTGCAGTGTGGACGGGTGAGTTGTGGCAGCCTCCTCCTGCTGGGAGTCCTGCAGTGTGGACGGGTGAGTTGTGGCAGCCTCCTCCTGCTGGGAGTCCTGCAGTGTGGATGGGTGAGTTGTGGCAGCCTCCTCCTGCTGGGAGTCCTGCAGTGTGGACGGGTGAGTTGTGGCAGCCTCCTCCTGCTGGGAGTCCTGTGCAGTGTGGACGGGTGAGTTGTGGCAGCCTCCTCCTGCTGGGAGTCCTGCAGTGTGGACGGGTGAGTTGTGGCAGCCTCCTCCTGCTGGGAGTCCTGCAGTGTGGATGGGTGAGTTGTGGCAGCCTCCTCCTGCTGGAGATGTGCAGTGTGGACGGGTGAGTTGTGGCAGCCTCCTCCTGCTGGGAGTCCTGCAGTGTGGATGGGTGAGTTGTGGCAGCCTCCTCTGCTGCTGGGAGTCCTGCAGTGTGGATGGGTGAGTTGTGGCAGCCTCCTCCTGCTGGAGATGTGCAGTGTGGACGGGTGAGTTGTGGCAGCCTCCTCCTGCTGGAGATGTGCAGTGTGACGGGTGAGTTGTGGCAGCCTCCTCCTGCTGGGAGTCCTGCAGTGTGGATGGGTGAGTTGTGGCAGCCTCCTCCTGCTGGAGATGTGCAGTGTGGACGGGTGAGTTGTGGCAGCCTCCTCATTCTGGAGTCCTGCAGTGTGGATGGGTGAGTTGTGGCAGCCTCCTGCTGGGAGTTGTGCAGTGTGGACGGGTGTTGTGGCAGCCTCCTCTTGCTGGAGTCCTGCAGTGTGGACGGGTGAGTTTGTGGCAGCCTCCTCTTGCTGGAGTCCTGCAGTGTGGACGGGTGAGTTGTGGCAGCCTCCTCCTGCTGGGAGTCCTGCAGTGTGGACGGGTGAGTTGTGGCAGCCTCCTCCTCCTGCTGGAGTCCTGCAGTGTGGACGGGTGAGTTGTGGCAGCCTCCTCTTGCTGGAGTCCTGCAGTGTGGACGGGTGTGAGTTGTGGCAGCCTCCTCCTGCTGGGAGTCCTGCAGTGTGGACGGGTGAGTTGTGGCAGCCTCCTCCTGCTGGGAGTCCTGCAGTGTGGACGGGTGAGTTGTGGCAGCCTCCTCCTGCTGGGAGTCCTGCAGTGTGGACGGGGTGAGTTGTGGCAGCCTCCTCCTGCTGGAGATGTGCAGTGTGGACGGGTGAGTTGTGGCAGCCTCCTCCTGCTGGAGATGTGCAGTGTGGACGGGTGAGTTGTGGCAGCCTCCTCTTGCTGGAGTCCTGCAGTGTGGACGGGTGAGTTGTGGCAGCCTCCTCCTGCTGGGAGTCCTGCAGTGTGGATGGGTGAGTTGTGGCAGCCTCCCTCCTGCTGGAGATGTGCAGTGTGGACAGGTGAGTTGTGGCAGCCTCCTCATTCTGGAGTCCTGCAGTGTGGATGGGTGAGTTGTGGCAGCCTCCTCTTGCTGGAGTCCTGCAGTGTGGACGGGTGAGTTGTGGCAGCCTCCTCTTGCTGGAGTCCTGCAGTGTGGACGGGTGAGTTGTGGCAGCCTCCTCCTGCTGGAGTCCTGCAGTGTGGACGGGTGAGTTGTGGCAGCCTCCTCCTGCTGGGAGTCCTGCAGTGTGGACGGGTGAGTTGTGGCAGCCTCCTCCTGCTGGGAGTCCTGCAGTGTGGACGGGTGAGTTGTGGCAGCCTCCTCCTGCTGGGAGTCCTGCAGTGTGGGACGGGTGAGTTGTGGCAGCCTCCTCCTGCTGGGAGTCCTGCAGTGTGGACGGGTGAGTTGTGGCAGCCTCCTCCTGCTGGGAGTCCTGCAGTGTGGACGGGTGAGTTGTGGCAGCCTCCTCCTGCTGGGAGTCCTGCAGTGTGGACGGGTGAGTTGTGGCAGCCTCCTCCTGCTGGGAGTCCTGCAGTGTGGACGGGTGAGTTGTGGCAGCCTCCTCCTGCTGGGAGTCCTGCAGTGTGGATGGGTGAGTTGTGGCAGCCTCCTCCTGCTGGAGATGTGCAGTGTGGACGGGTGAGTTGTGGCAGCCTCCTCCTGCTGGGAGTCCTGCAGTGTGGATGGGTGAGTTGTGGCAGCCTCCTCCTGCTGGGAGTCCTGCAGTGTGGGATGGGTGAGTTGTGGCAGCCTCCTCCTGCTGGGAGTGTGCAGTGTGGACGGGTGAGTTGTGGCAGCCTCCTCCTGCTGGGAGTCCTGCAGTGTGGACGGGTGAGTTGTGGCAGCCTCCTCCTGCTGGGAGTCCTGCAGTGTGGACTGGGTGAGTTGTGGCAGCCTCCTCCTGCTGGAGATGTGCAGTGTGGACGGGTGAGTTGTGGCAGCCTCCTCCTGCTGGGAGTCCTGCAGTGTGGATGGGTGAGTTGTGGCAGCCTCCTCCTGCTGGAGATGTGCAGTGTGGACAGGTGAGTTGTGGCAGCCTCCTCATTCTGGAGTCCTGCAGTGTGGATGGGTGAGTTGTGGCAGCCTCCTGCTGGAGATGTGCAGTGTGGACGGGTGAGTTGTGGCAGCCTCCTCTTGCTGGAGTCCTGCAGTGTGGACGGGTGAGTTGTGGCAGCCTCCTCCTGCTGGGAGTCCTGCAGTGTGGACGGGTGAGTTGTGGCAGCCTCCTCCTGCTGGGAGTCCTGCAGTGTGGACGGGTGAGTTGTGGCAGCCTCCTCTTGCTGGAGTCCTGCAGTGTGGACGGGTGAGTTGTGGCAGCCTCCTCCTGCTGGGAGTCCTGCAGTGTGGACGGGTGAGTTGTGGCAGCCTCCTCCTGCTGGAGAGTCCTGCAGTGTGGACGGGTGAGTTGTGGCAGCCTCCTCCTGCTGGAGAGTGTGCAGTGTGGACGGGTGAGTTGTGGCAGCCTCCTCCTGCTGGAGATGTGCAGTGTGGACGGGTGAGTTGTGGCAGCCTCCTCCTGCTGGGAGTAGTCCTGCAGTGTGGATGGGTGAGTTGTGGCAGCCTCCTCCTGCTGGAGATGTGCAGTGTGGATGGGTGAGTTGTGGCAGCCTCCTCTTGCTGGAGTCCTGCAGTGTTATCGGGTGAGTTGTGGCAGCCTCCTCCTGCTGGGAGTCCTGCAGTGTTATCGGGTGAGTTGTGGCAGCCTCCTACTGCTGGGAGTCCTGCAGTGTGGACGGGTGAGTGTGGCAGCCTCCTCCTGCTGGAGATGTGCAGTGTGGACGGGTGAGTTGTGGCAGCCTCCTCCTGCTGGAGATGTGCAGTGTGGACGGGTGAGTTGTGGCAGCCTCCCTCCTGCTGGAGATGTGCAGTGTGGACGGGTGAGTTGTGGCAGCCTCCTCCTGCTGGGGGAGTCCTGCAGTGTGGATGGGTGAGTTGTGTGGCAGCCTCCTCCTGCTGGAGATGTGCAGTGTGGACGGGTGAGTTGTGGCAGCCTCCTCCTGCTGGAGATGTGCAGTGTGGAGGTTTTTGGGAACCAACAGCAACTTTGTTTTGTTCACCTTATTGAGGTGCTATGCAGGCTGTGGCCGTGTCCATTGTGGGTGCTGCAGCTGTGTGTTATGATGTCATCAGTGGCTCATGCACCATTTTGTCTCCTACTCCTTTCTATGTGGGTCCAGCTCCACACTGCCTCAACTGAATCCAGCCTGCGCCATACTTCCTCCCACATCCACGGAGTGCCCTGAAATCTCTGGTGTCACCCGGCGAGGCGTGTCCAGGTGTCAGACATATTGTAACCGGGCTTTTTGTGGCACTGGCGCAGTAAAGGCTTCTTTCTGACAACTGCACCATGCAGCTAATTTTTGTTCAAGTATTGTCGTATTGTGCTCCATGACACAACCATGCCGCCTTTTTCCACAGCAGCCTGTATTCCTCCTGTGTGGTGTCAATCTTTCTTGGTCTCCCTGACCTTGGCTTGGTATCGGGAGATCCCCAAACTTTCCAATTCTTAATAAGTGATTGAACAGGACTGACCGGCATATTCAAGGCTTTGGATATCTTTTTATATACCTTTTCCATCTTTATAAAGTCCCGCTACCTTTTCACGCAGGTCTTTTGACAGTTCTTTTCTGCTCCCCATGGCTCAGTATCTAGCCTGCTCAGTGCATCCACGTGAGAGCGAACACACACACCGACTATACACAAAGTGAGCCACAGATGTGGGAAATTAACCTTTAGTTGCCATTGTCCCCTGTGTGTGTCCCCTTGTGTGTCTGTACCAAGGCCGGACCTTCCAGGGGGTGGAGACTTCTGATTCAGGGGGTGGAGACTTCTGATTCGGGGGGTGGAGACTTCTGATTCGGGGGTGGAGACTTCTGATCCGGGGGTGGAGACTTCTGATCCGGGGGAGGAGGACTTCTGATCGGGGGTGGAGACTTCTGATCCGGGGGTGGAGACTTCTGATCCGGGGGTGGAGACTTCTGATCCGGGGGTGGAGACTTCTGATCCGGGGGTGGAGACTTCTGATAGGGGGAGGAACTCTGATTCGGGGGAGAGACTTCTGATTCGGGGGAGGAGACTTCTGATTCGGGGGAGGAGACTTCTGATTCGGGGGTGGAGACTTCTGATCCGGGGGTGGAGACTTCTGATCCGGGGGTGGAGACTTCTGATCCGGGGGAAGACTTCTGACCGGGGGTGAAGACTTCTGATCCGGGGAGAGGAGACTTCTGATCCGGGGGAGGAGACTTCTGATCCGGGGGAGGAGACTTCTGATCCGGGGGTGGAGACTTCTGATCCGGGGGAGGAGACTTCTGATCCGGGGGGTGGAGACTTCTGATCCGGGGGAGGAGACTTCTGATCCGGGGGAGGAGACTTCTGATCCGGGGGAGGAGACTTCTGATCCGGGGGAGGAGACTTCTGATCCGGGGGGCGGAGACTTCTGATCCGGGCCATTTGGGGGATTTCTGTTATCATTAGGATTTAATAAAGAGCCAAACAACTCTGTGATCATAAATGGCGTCCCATCATCGCTATCCTTCCATAAAAGACAGGATCCGTCAGATTTCCACCATCAATGCCGAAATGTTACCATTTCTGCCAGCTGAGGGAGACTTTTCAGCACAACTTTAGATATTAATGGGGCGGTATGGTGGGCAGTCGTATCCTGGATGGTAATGGGGCGGTGTGGTGGGCAGTCACATCCTGGATGGTAATGGGGCGTGGTGTGGTGGGCAGTCACATCCTGGATGGTAATGGGGTGGTGTGGTGGGCAGTCGTATCCTGGATGGTAATGGGGCGTGTGGTGTGGTGGGCAGTCACATCCTGGATGGTAATGGGCGTGGTGTGGTGGGCAGTCGTATCCTGGATGGTAATGGGTGTGGTGTGGTGGGAAGTCGTATCCTGGATGGTAATGGGTGTGGTGTGGTGGGAAGTCGTATCCTGGATGGTAATGGGGTGGTGTGGTGGGCAGTCACATCCTGGATGGTAATGGGCGTGGTGTGGTGGGGCAAGTCGTATCCTGGATGGTAATGGGGTGGTGTGGTGGGCAGTCGTATCCTGGATGGTAATGGGCGTGGTGTGGTGGGAAGTCGTATCCTGGATGGTAATGGGGTGGTGTGGTGGGCAGTCACATCCTGGATGGTAATGGGCGTGGTGTGGTGGGCAGTCACATCCTGGATGGTAATGGGCGTGGTGTGGTGGGCAGTCACATCCTGGATGGTAATGGGCGTGTGGTGTGGTGGGCAGTCACATCCTGGATGGTAATGGGCGTGGTGTGGTGGGCAGTCGCATCCTGGATGGTAATGGGGTGGTGTGGTGGGCAGTCGCATCCTGGATGGTAATGGGCGTGGTGTGGTGGGCAGTCACATCCTGGATGGTAATGGGCGTGGTGTGGTGGGCAGTCACATCCTGGATGGTAATGGGGCGTGGTGTGGGTGGGCAGTCGCATCCTGGATGGTAATGGGCGTGGTGTGGTGGGCAGTCACATCCTGGATGGTAATGGGCGTGGTGTGGTGGGCAGTCGCATCCTGGATGGTAATGGGCGTGGTGTGGTGGGCAGTCGCATCCTGGATGGTAATGGGCGTGGTGTGGTGGGCAGTCGCATCCTGGATGGTAATGGGCGTGGTGTGGTGGGCAGTCACATCCTGGATGGTAATGGGCGTGGTGTGGTGGGCAGTCACATCCTGGATGGTAATGGGCGTGGTGTGGTGGGCAGTCACATCCTGGATGGTAATGGTGCGTCACATCCTGTGTGGTGGGGTGTGTCACATCCTGGATGGGAATGGGCGTGGTGTGGTGGGCAGTCACATCCTGGATGGTAATGGGCGTGGTGTGGTGGGCAGTCACATCCTGGATGGTAATGGGCGTGGTGTGTGGTGGCAGTCGTATCCTGGATGGTAATGGGCGGGTGAGTGTGGTGGGCAGTCACATCCTGGATGGTAATGGGCGTGGTGTGGTGGGAAGTCGTATCCTGGATGGTAATGGGCGTGGTGTGGTGGGCAGTCGCATCCTGGATGGTAATGGGGTGGTGTGGTGGGAAGTCGTATCCTGGATGGTAATGGGGCGGTGTGTGGGCAGTCACATCCTGGATGGTAATGGGCGTGGTGTGGTGGGGAAGTCGTATCCTGGATGGTAATGGGGTGGTGTGGTGGGCAGTCGCATCCTGGATGGTAATGGGCGTGGTGTGGTGGGAAGTCGTATCCTGGATGGTAATGGGCGTGGTGTGGTGGGCAGTCGCATCCTGGATGGTAATGGGCGTGTGGTGTGGTGGGCAGTCGCATCCTGGATGGTAATGGGCGTGGTGTGGTGGGCAGTCACATCCTGGATGGTAATGGGCGTGGTTTTCTCTCCGGTGCAGAGTTTGGGGGACGCGGCGCCCAGTCAGCTGATCGTCTATCATTACACCGACCTGCAGAAGGAGAAGGGAATGGTTCTGATGAACTCTGAACTGGACTCCACATTCCTGGTACGTTGCCCGCCATGTTGTGTGTGACGATGTGTTCTGCAACTAAAGAAATGTGGGTGTGGCCTGCCACCCTCACTGATTGTCACTGTGTGTGAATGGGGGGATGTGGGCGGAGCCTGGATTGGAGGTTTCCTTGTGTGTAGTCCCACCTCCTGATGAAAGCCTTCATGTCTCCTCCTGATGACGCCACCTGCCCCCCCCCCCGTCTGCTGTATGTAGAAAACATGCAAAATCCATCAATCCTGGCTAATGCTTCAAATTATATACTGTATACCCATACACCTACCGTACCTACCGTACAACATACCTACCGTACCTACCCTATGTACCTACCGTACCTACCCTAATATACCCATACACCTACCGTACCTACCCTATTGGTGTGGGGAGTACCTACCCTATATACCCATACACCTACCGTACCTACCCTATGTACCCTACCGTACCATACCCTATATACCCATACACCTACCGTACCTACCCTTATGTACCCTACCGTACACACCTACCGTACCTACCCTATGTATCCTATACCGTGACCTACCCTATATACCCATACACCTACCGTACCTACCCTATGTACCTACCGTACACACCTACCGTACCTACCCTATATACCCATACACCTACCGTAACCTACCCTATGTACCTACCGTACCTACCCTATATACCCATACACCTACCGTACCTACCCTATGTACCTACCGTACCTACCCTATATACCCATACCACCTACCGTACCTACCCTATGTACCTACCGTACCTACCCTATATACCCAATACACCTACCGTTTACCGTACCTACCCTATATACCCATACACCTACCGTACCTACCCTATGTACCTACCGTACCTACCCTATATACCCATACACCTACCGTACCTACCCTATGTACCTACCGTACCTACCCTATATACCCATACCCTACCTACCGTACCTACCCTATGTACCTACCGTACCTACCCTATATACCCATACACCTACCGTACCTACCCTATGTACCTACCGTACCTACCCTATATACCCATACACCTACCGTAACCTACCGTACCCTACCCTATATACCCATACACCTACCGTACCTACCCTATGTACCTACCGTACCTACCCTATATACCCATACACCTACCGTACCTACCCTATATACCCATAACACCTACCTACCGTACCTACCGTACACATACCTACCGTACACACCTACCGTACCTACCGTACACATACCTACTGTACCTACCCCTATGTACCTACCGTACCTACCCTATATACCCATACACCTACCGTACCTACCCTATGTACCTACCGTACCTACCCTATATACCCATACACCTACCGTACCTACCCTATGTACCTACCCTATATACCCATACACCTACCGTACCTACCCTATATACCCATACACCTACCGTACCTACCCTATGTACCTACCGTACCTACCCTATATACCCATACACCTACCGTACCTACCCTATGTACCTACCGTACCTACCCTATATACCCATACACCTACCGTACCTACCCTATGTACCTACCCTATATACCCATATACCTACCGTACCTACCCTATGTACCTACCGTACCTACCCTATATACCCATACACCTACCGTACCTACCCTATGTACCTACCGTACCTACCCTATATACCTACCGTACCTACCCTATATACCCATACACCTACCATACCTACCCTATATACCCATACACCTACCGTACCTACCCTATATACCCATACACCTACCGTACCTACCCTATATACCTACCGTACCTACCCTATATACCCATACACCTACCGTACCTACCCTATGTACCTACCGTACCTACCCTATATACCCATACACCTACCATACCTACCCTATGTACCCTACCGTACCTACCCTATATACCTACCGTACCTACCCTATATACCTACCGTACCTACCCTATATACCCATACACCTACCGTACCTACCCTATGTACCTACCGTACCTACCCTATATACCCATACACCTACCGTACCTACCCTATGTACCTACCCTATATACCCATACACCTACCATACCTACCCTATATACCTACCGTACCTACCCTATATACCCATACACCTACTGTACCTACCCTATATACCCATACACCTACCATACCTACCCTATATACCTACCGTATATACCCATACACCTACCGTACCTACTGTATATACCTACCCTATATACCCATACACCTACCGTACCTACCCTATATACCTACCCGTATATACCCTATATACCCATACACACCTACCGTATATACTATATACCCATACACCTACCCTATGTACCCATACACCTACCTCCTGAATATACAGAACATGTGATTTGCAGCACTGGTCAGGACTGATTTATATGCGGCATATTTTATGAATACACATTTTGTTGATTCTTTTTGCATTTTAAATTCCAGCTGCTTGGGTTTAGGTGAAGGTTGAAGCACAAAAGAAACTCCCCGATCCTGTCTGCATCCCACTGCCTGCACTCTGCCACCCTGATGCCGTCCCAACCTCCGCTTGCTGCTCCTCCCCGTCCCGCGCCCCGCTCCTCCCGCTCCTCCCCCCTCCTCCCCGTCCCGCCCCCGCTCCTCCCCGTCCCACGCCCCGCTCCTCCCCGTCCCGCGCCCCGCTCCTCCCCGTCCCGCGCCCCGCTCCTCCCCGTCCCGCGCCCCGCTCCTCCCCCCGTCCCGCGCCCCCCTCCTCCCCGTCCCGCGCCCCGCTCCTCCCCCCGCCCCGCTCCTCCCCGTCCCACGCCCCGCTCCTCCCGTCCCGAGCCCCGCTCGCCCGCACCTTCCCCCCCCCCCTCCCCCGCACCTCACCCCCCCCCTGCTTCCCCGTCCCGCGCCCGCTCCTCCCCGTCCCACGCCCGCTCCTCCCCGTCCCGAGCCCCGCTCGCCCGCACCTTCCCCCCCCCCCCCCCCTCCCCACTTCCCCGCACCTCACCCCCCCCGTGCTTCCCCGTCCCGAGCCACCGCTCGCCCGCGCCTCCCCGTCCCGACCCCTCCGCCTTGCCGTCACAAGCCCCGCTCGCCCGCGCCTTCCCGTTACCACATGTGCCTCCCCTCCTGACCCCAGCCACCCGCAGCTCCCCGTCCTGACCCCCGGCCACCCGCGCCTCCCTGTCACCACCTGTGCCTCCCCATCTTGACCCTGCCCTCAGTATTCTCCCATCCTGATCCCAGTACCGGTCCTCTTGGTTACACACATTGGTCTGGAGATGGACGACCCATTCAGCCAATCCCGGCTCATTACCCACAGCCAGGTCAGCCAGTGAGAAGACGCATCAGTTGCTTAGATGGGGGGTGGGGTATAAGGTTGAATCTGCTCTGGGCCTTTAAATATTCTGAGCTCTCCAGGTATGAGCATTGTCAGGCTCCGCCCCTCCCATCAGACCAGAAATCACTGAGAACTGATTGGCTTTTTGGTCTGTTTTCCTGCCAATGACCTGGAGTCACAGACTCCGCTTATCTTACATTGGGGTCACCTCTGCATTCTGTATACAGGGGCGGGAGGAAATGTTTAGGCTCCTCCTCCTCTGTAGACCCGATCTGATGGTTTCCATTTGTTTCCTGCAGAGTGTTCCGGAAGCGCAATGTCTGGCCAATCAGGTGCAGCTTTTCTACAGCGGGGACTGGTTCCATCTGGTGGAAAGCTTCAATCACACCCCCAACGCCTTCAAGTACATGTCTGTGGTGTCTGCGCTGGAGCAGAGCGGCCTGGGGAGAGCGGCTCACTAGCCTAAGGAAGAACTCCGATCCCTAAAGGGGAACCCCGCCCATCCCCGGAGACAGACTCTGTGACTCCTCTGACAATCCTGTGTGACTGTTAAAAAATTATGTCTATTTTGGTATTTATGATGCATTCGGATTGGTTGTTCATCAAGAGATTAAATCGCTGTTCTGTCGTGGTTGCTGGAAATGATTTACTACCTCAGGTGAAAGTCATCTCTGGACACAGCTGCAGTCTGTCCCGGGACGGGTGTCGGATGCCCTCCTCCCTCCCGGGGACTGGTGCCGGATGCCCTCCTCCCTCCCGGGGACTGGTGCCGGATGCCCTCCTCCCCCTCCCGGGGACTGGTGCCGGATGCCCTCCTCCCTCCCGGGGACTGGTGCCGGATGCCCTCCTCCCTCCCGGGGACTGGTGCCGGATGCCCTCCTCCCTCCCGGGGACTGGTGCCGGATGCCCTCCTCCCTCCCGGGGACTGGTGCCGGATGCCCTCCTCCCTCCCGGGGACTGGTGCCGGATGCCCTCCTCCTCCCTCCCCCTCCTCCCTCCCGGGGGACTGGTGCCGGATGCCCTCCTCCCTCCCGGGGACTGGTGCCGGATGCCCTCCTCCCTCCCGGGGACTGGTGCCGGATGCCCTCCCTCCCGGGGACGGGGCGCCGGGCGTTCTCCCCCCTCCCGGGGACGGGGCGCCGGACGGGGGGACGGGGCCCGGACGCTCTCCCCCCTCCCGGGGACGGGGCGCCGGACGCTCTCCCCCCTCCCGGGGACGGGGCGCCGGACGCTCTCCCCCCTCCCGGGGACGGGGCGCCGGACGCTCTCCCCCCTCCCGGGGACGGGGCGCCGGACGCTCTCCCCCCCTCCCGGGGACGGGGCGCCGGACGCTCTCCCCCCCCCGGGGACGGGGCGCCGGACGCTCTCCCCCCTCCCGGGGACGGGGCGCCGGACGCTCTCCCCCCTCCCGGGGACGGGGCGCCGGACGCTCTCCCCCCTCCCGGGGACTGGTGCCGGGCACCGCCCTCCCTCCCGGGGCGAGGCGCCGGATGTTCTCCCTCCCTGGGGACTGGTGCCGGGCGCTCTCCTTCCTCCCGGGGATGGGGTGCTGGATGTTTCTCCTCAGTCTCGGGGACGGGGCGCCGGGCGCTCTCCCCCATCCCGGGGACGGGGTGCTGGATGTTTCTCCCCCATCCCGGGGACGGGGCGCTGGGAGCTCTCCTCCAGGCACTGTCTTTGGGAATTTCCTGAGAGATGTTTGTTGTGAGGGAACCTCCATCTGATTTTAGAGAAGACCAGAACCAGTAGAAATTAGTGATGCAACGAAAATTCAAAATCGAAATTTGCAGTTTTAAAAAAATGAATATATATTTTTTGGATGAAAATACACTGTGACATAAATGTAGAGATTTCAGTAGATAAGATGTGATCAGTAGTAATATGTAATCGTAACTGGAGGGACATTCCTTGTTATTAAAGATGTATTCAGTCAAATATTCAGTCATAGGAACTCAGATGGTCATCAATTAGCGTGTGAAAAGCCCGGCTTCCTCTGGAAGTGACACCTTGGGGCTAATAAGATTTTGTCACCTTCTGGGGAAACCGGTTTTGAAGGAAATGGCTGCAGATGACCAGGGGGCTCGATCTGTCTGGGGAGCTTTAAAGTATATACATAGATCAAAGGAAATGTTTCATCTCTCATAACAGCTAAATTAGTTGCAGAGAGATGAAAATACTTCCCTCTGATGGGGCACTCTGTGCGTCACACCGACACCTAAAAACCATATTTGTGGCTTAGGTAGAAGGCCAGGAAAATGCAGAAAATGGTTAGGTGGCGCTGGAGTGCGACAGTCGAATGGTGTTTGGTACTGTCGCAATCGGACTGATGCGCTGGTGTCTGAAATCCAATACCCGAGTTGGTGTTTCAAGCTGGTCTTGGTCTGATTGAACTTGGGCAGGTCAGCACTCAGAACATCCTGTGGGCGGGTACAGAGACACCCCCAGGGTCAACTGGCCGAAGACTAATGTCCCACCTACGTCCATATCCCCATAAATGGAGTACCTGGGCATTGGGACATTGTAATTCGTATGGAGCTGGTTGATCGACCAACAGATTGCTATTTTTCTCCCTGACTTGCTCCAGTCGCAGGATAGATCTCGTTAAAAGTTTTATCTCTTGTCTTTTATTCCCTTTTATTTTATAGTGAAGTCATTTGTGTTTCTTGTATTTCTGTAACTTTTTACATTTTGTACATGTTTTATGCCCCGCCCACTTTCGGGAAATTAAATCTTAACATTAATTAGTGACTTCTGTGTATTAAAGCTCGGGCTCATATCTTTGGAGGGATTGGATTGTATTGTATTTTAGTGCCTTTAAACACTCGGTCAAGCTCATTGCCAATCTGTATGCAATTGCACTGTGTGTGGGCAGATTGCAAAAGGTAACAGATCTGCCAGACGGAAATCTGTGTGTGTGGGGTGTCCCAGCAGACCGTTCTGCGGATAAACTGTTGGGTGGTGGCAGGCTACCGTTTGTGGTGTGTCTGGTGCGGGGAATGGACAGTGGAAGGGTGATAACACCGGGGTTCAAGCTGTAGGTAGCTGGAGGGACTCTAGAAGGGTGTAATTACTAAACTGGTCCTCAACTCTAATCAGTGCACCAGATTGTATGTAAGATTTGTATCTGCCAGTGTGTGGTCAGCCAGCTGGATTGTAGTGGAGTCTCCCCCCGGTGGTGGGCAGAGGTAGTGCAGCTGTGGAAGGATATCACGGCTGATTTTATATACGGTTTTATATATTCAAAGTTGACTTTCCCTTTATTCCCTCTTACCTCAAGTCACGGCCGCACGTGCGCTCCTCGCTGTGGACGTGGCGTGTGGGGGATCCGTAACAGATTGGTGGCAGCGGTGGGATCTGCTTAGTACATTAGTGGTTTATTCATGTACCCCGTGTAGTGAAGGTCGGACGCTCCGTAGAAGTGACACCTACAGAAGATCACTCCGTGCATCATTTTTGTTTTGTAGAAGACATACTTGGCTATTTGCTCCCCCCCCCCTCCTTCCTCCCCTCCCCCCCCTCCTCCTTCTTTCTTTTTCTTTTTCTATCTTTTATTTTGGCAAAAACGTGAAGATGGTAACCCAGGAAGATGAGTTAATCGATGGAACCCTGCAACTGTGCCGCTCCAGATGACTGCGGGAATCCATGGAACCCTGCAACTGTGCCGCTCCAGATGACTGCGGGAATCGATGGAACCCTGCAACTGTGCCACTCCAGATGACTGCGGGAATCGATGGAACCCTGCAACTGTGCCGCTCCAGATGACTGCGGGAATCGATGGAACCCTGCAACTGTGCCGCTCCAGATGACTGCGGGAATCCATGGAACCCTGCAACTGTGCCGCTCCAGATGACTGCGGGAATCCATGGAACCCTGCAACTGTGCCACTCCAGATGACTGCGGGAATCCATGGAACCCTGCAACTGTGCCACTCCAGATGACTGCGGGAATCCATGGAACCCTGCAACTGTGCCACTCCAGATGACTGCGTGAATCGATGGAACCCTGCAACTGTGCCACTCCAGATGACTGCGGGAATCGATGGAACCCTGCAACTGTGCCACTCCAGATGACTGCGGGAATCGATGGAACCCTGCAACTGTGCCACTCCAGATGACTGCGGGAATCGATGGAACCCTGCAACTGTGCCACTCCAGATGACTGCGGGAATCGATGGAACCCTGCAACTGTGCCACTCCAGATGACTGCGGGAATCGATGGAACCCTGCAACTGTGCCACTCCAGATGACTGCGGGAATCGATGGAACCCTGCAACTGTGCCACTCCAGATGACTGCGGGAATCGATGGAACCCTGCAACTGTGCCACTCCAGATGACTGCGGGAATCGATGACCCTGCAACTGTGCCACTCCAGATGACTGCGGGAATCGATGGAACCCTGCGACTGTGCCACTCCAGATGACTGCATGAATCGGTGTGACTCTGTTCTCAAACCCGCTCGGTACAAGAGATCGGCACACAGAGAGAACCTTGATCTGGGAACAAACCTACAGCTTTTGGGAGGTGATGACCCCGAGGGGCAGTTTCAGCTCATTTCCGCGTTACTACAAATTGAGAGAAAGCACCAACAGCGGATGGAGCGAACTGAGAGGAGGCACAAAGCCGAGAGGGTCCAAGTCCAGCAGGGAATGCATTGTTACCTCCATCTCTGCATCAAGAACTACAAGAGCCAGACCTACATTTAAGGAGACCTGGAAGGGTGTTTATCTGTAACCAAGTGGACATCACTCACGGCCCAAACGTGAGGATATCCAGCCCACCAGCAAAAGTGGAAAATGTACCCCCTACTGTGTTTCTTGTTGGAGAGAATGGAGGAGGCCGAGTGGATAACCAGCCACCATTTACTACAAGTAACAGTGTTACAGTTGGACTCCAAGGTACGGGATCAGAGAAGGTCCTAGTTCATCCAGAATTGAGGAGCTGTGAGGATGTGATCCCAGTGGAAGCCATGGCTGGCACAGGGGTTGGAGGAGCCATCTCTGCTGTGCCTATGGCTTGTGTTTCTTTTGAACCAGGAATCTGGAAGTCAAGTGGAAGAAGTGGGCAGAACAGATCCCACTAATGAAGGAGGCCATGTGGACAGCCTGCAGCCAGTTACTGCAGGCAACAATGTTTCAGCTGAACTCAAAGATAAGGGACCCGAAGATGTCCTAGCTCTTCCCGGATTGAGGAGTCATGAGGAGGTGGGTCCCAAAGAAAGCCACAGTTATCATAGGGTTTGGAGGAGTCACCCCTGTACTACCTACAGCTTGTGTTGCTTTGCCCCAAGGATCCAGAAGCAAAGTGAGAGAAGTGGGCATAGCAGATACCACTAACATATTATTGGGTACTGACCTGGGACGGTTGGTAGCCCATTATGAGCCTTATCAAGCCCCCCTAGAACCTACCTTGCCACCTGAGGCCCTGGACTCATGTAAAAGACTGATTGAAGACTCCATGAACACTGGGGATTCTGGGGAGGGTCAGGGTGTGAAGGACTGTGTACCAGGGCCTGGCTCTAGTGGCTGTCTGGAGTCAAGGCCTGGAGAAGAGTTTAAAGTCACAGAGGACTCTGCAACTGACAATGTTTTATGTGATGATGAATGTAATGACGTGCAAGGCAGACCTTCCCTCTGCTGCAGTGGTGACTCGGGGTGCCCACCAGGTGGCCCTGGACCAGTCATTGCCCACTGCTACAGAGGAACTGTCTGTGGAAGGGCCCAATCTAGCTGGGTAGGACCCTTGTGAACCTGGCCCAAAGGGCCTAAGGTCTCCTCAGACTGTTGTCCACCTGGCACCTGCAGAGATAGCTCTGAGTCCCCTGCGGCTGTGAAAATTGATGGCAGCCTAGAGGATCTCAGGGGTCTAGCTGAAGGACCGCCAGTGGTGGATGGCAGGATGGGGTTGCATGGACAAAAGGAAGTTGGTTTTGTACCCATATGTAAAGAAACAGAATGTTCTTCTTCTGAAGTTCCCGGGGAAAAGGCACATTGTGTGTCAGTAAGTCCTGGTATAGACCAGTGTTGTGTGCCTCTATCCCCTTGTGGGATGAAGTTCTCTGTTGTCTGCTCCCCTGACACCACAGATACCAGTCATGCCATTTTGGATCCTGGGCTGTGGAGCACAGAGGAGGGACCACAGGGTGAGGGTTTGAGTCTGACTCTACCCCCTCAGTAGCTGGGGCTGGCGGCACTGAGTTTCCAGAGGCTGTTGCATTTGATTCCAGCCCAGAGGAACTCGGGTGTGCCGACAGACGCTCTGCTGAGGACAGGGTAGAAGTGTGTGATGGGGGTCACAGGACAACCCCTAGTGTGTGTGACGTGGTTCGGAGGACAACCCCCGGTGTGTGTGACGCGGTTCGGAGGACAGCCCCCGGTGTGTGACGCGGTTCGGAGGACAGCCCCCGGTGTGTGACGCGGTTCGGAGGACAGCCCCCGGTGTGTGACGCGGTTCGGAGGACAGCCCCCGGTGTGTGACGCGGGTCGGAGGACAGCCCCCGGTGTGTGACGCGGGTCGGAGGACAGCCCCCGGTGTGTGACGCGGGTCGGAGGACAGCCCCGGTGTGTGACGCGGGTCGGAGGACAGCCCCCGGTGTGTGTGACGCGGGTCGGAGGACAGCCCCCGGTGTGTGACGCGGGTCGGAGGACAGCCCCCGGTGTGTGACGCGGGTCGGAGGACAACCCCCGGTGTGTGACGCGGGTCGGAGGACAACCCCCGGTGTGTGACGCGGGTCGGAGGACAACCCCTAGTGGAATCCTTCCTCCTGTAACCTTCCCCTCGGTCACCAGTCGCGGGTGCTGCCAGTGCAGACTCATTTCTGTGTGTTACAGAGGGAAGTCTGCAGGATGTTGGGGCAAATTCAGCCCAATCAGTGTCTTCCACCTCAGCAGCTGCCGCTGACATCACTGAGTTCTTCCAGGCTGATAGGTCTGAGGTTGGCCCGGAGGAGCTCAGGGGTGGTGCTGACAGATGTTCTGCTGAGGAGGACAGAGTAGAAGGGCGTGGCACGGGTCAGAGGATGACCCCTGGTGGAGTAAAGTCTGTGGATTTATCCTTGGTCCCCACAGCTATGAGTATCATGATTGAGGATTCATTGCTGTGCACAGCAAAGGGGGATCACAGGATGACGGGGGAACACTGACCCCCTCGGAATCTGCTTTCTCAGAGGCGGTATCTGACAACACTGCATTCTCGCAGGCTGATAGGTTGGATGTCAGGCTGGAGGAACTCAGGGGTTGTGCTGACCGGTCTCTGGCTGAGGCAGAAGGAGCAGAAGTGTGGGAGACAGGTCCAAGGGTGGAGGCTCTGGTATCCAAGCCATGGAACCAGGTCCAGATCACCCAGGAATGACCCTATACCAGGCTCAGGCATCTGGGTGTTGCAGCTGATAGAGAACCACCAGATGACCCTGGCCAGTGGCTGGAAATGATGACAGCACACAATGACAGGCTTGCCTGGACCCGTCCAGTAGATAGTCGGTGGCCAGTGGATTAAATGGATCCCCGCGGGGGGGATCTGCTGGCCAGTGGTGACCCAAACCCTTTAGGATCAGTCAGAGAGCTGTACAGGAGCCCTCCCCCATCGTCAGGGGGACGGGCTGAGCTGTCAGCGGTGTCGAGCTTTAGTTGGGAAAACTCCGTTTAGGCTCAGCTATGCGTCGTCTGGAAGAGGGGCGATGTAACATACATGTAACATACATGTACAGATTTGAGTAGATAAGATGTGATCAGTAGCAATATGTAATTATAACTGGAGGGACATTCCATTGTCATTAACCCCTCGCCTACCGGACACTTCTACCCCCTTCCTGCCTACCGGGCACTTCTACCCCCCTTCCTGCCTACCGGGCACTTCTACCCCCTTCCTGCCTACCGACACTTCTACCCCCTTCCTGCCCACCGGACACTTCTACCCCCTTCCTGCCCACTTCATCGGGCACTTCTACCCCCTTCCTGCCTACAGGACACTTCTACCCCCTTCCTGCCCACCGGGCACTTCTACCCCCTTCCTGCCCACCGGACACTTCTACCCCCTTCCTGCCCACCGGGCACTTCTACAGGCCCCCTTCCTGCCTACAGGGCACTTCTACCCCCTTCCTGCCTACAGGGTACTTCTACCCCCTTCCTGCCTACAGGGTACTTCTACCCCCTTCCTGCCTACAGGGTACTTCTACCCCCTTCCTGCCTACCGGGCACTTCTACCCCCCCCTTCCTTACCAGGCCAATTTTCAGCTTTCAGCGCTGTCACACTTTGACAATTGCGCGGTTATGCAAGATTGTACTCATATGAAATTTTTATCATTTTTTTCCTCACAAATAGAGCTTTCTTTTGGTGGTGTTTCCTCCCCGCTGGGTTTTTACTTTTTGCGCTATAAACAAAAAAAGTGCAAAAAATTAAAAAAAAAAAAAAAAAAAAGTTTCTTTGTTTCTATTATAAAATTTTTAAAACAGGTAATTTTTTCTCCTTCACTGATGTACATTGATTAGGCGGCACTAATTAGACAGCACTGATAGGTGGCAATGATGATGGGTACTGATAGACAGCACTGATAGGTGGCACTGACTGGACATCACTGGGTGGCACTGACTGGCGGCACTGCTAGGTATTGACTGGCGGCACTGTTAGGCATTAACTGGCGCAACTGCTGGGCACCGACTGGCAGCACTGCTGGGCTGCACTGGTGGGCACAGATGGGTGGCACTGGTGGGCACAGGTGGGTGCACTGCTGGGCACAAGTGGGCGGAACTGGTGGGTGGCACTGCTGGGCACTGATCATCAGTGCCCTGATGATCGGTGCCGATCCTCATTCTGACAACTGCCGGTTCTCTGCAGTACTTTCCTCACGATCTGACAGTGTGAGGAAAGTGCAGCCGAGAACCGGCACTTGCATTTCCCTGTGATCAGCGTGTCATTGGACACCGCTGATCACGTGGTAAAAGGCCGCTGTGATTGGCCTTTTACCACATCACGTGATCAGCTGTGTCCGTAGGACACAACGATCACGGAGATCGCCGGGGGCGTGCAGGAGAGTGTGTTCTGGGAGGATGTCATATGACGCCCTCCCAGAACTGGCCGGCCGCAGTGTAGCCGTCATTCAGCTATCTGCGGTTGGCAACTTGTTAAGGATGTATATTCTGTAGGGACATTCCATTGTCTGTAGGGACATTATTGTCATTAAGGATGTATATTCAGTCCCTGTCATCGGGGAAATGAGGTACTCAGACAGTGGTCATCAATTAGCATCAATTAGGCTGAAAAGCCCGGCTTCCGGGATGTGACAACTTTGTGTTAATAAGGTTGTCACCTTCTGGTGAAACCGGTTTGGAGGAAGTGGCCCCAGACAGGTGGTCTGCCTGACATTGGAAGCTCTAAAAGGAGTATATCCATCCATCAAAAGGAGTATGTTTCATCCCTCATAAAAGCTGAAATATTAGTTGCAGAGAGATGAACATACTCCCTTCTTGTAGGGCATTCTGTGCGCTACATCTGCACTAAAAATCATATTTGTGGCTTAGGTAGAAGGCCAGGAAAATGCAGGAAATGGTTAGGTGGCGCTGGTTTGTGACAGTCGAATGGTGTTATGTACTGTCGCGGTCGGACTGATGCGCTGGTGTCGGAAATCCAATCCCCGACTTGGTGTTTCAGGCTGGCATGTAGAGATTTCAGTAGATAAGATGTGATCAGTAGTAATATGTAATCGTAACTGGAGGGACATTCCTTGTTATTAAAGATGTATTCAGTCAAATATTCAGTCATAGGAACTCAGATGGTCATCAATTAGCGTGTGAAAAGCCCGGCTTCCTCTGGAAGTGACACCTTGGGGCTAATAAGATTTTGTCACCTTCTGGGGAAACCGGTTTTGAAAGAAATGGCTGGAGACAGTTCAGCTGCAGATGACCAGGGGTCTCGATCTGTCTGGGGAGCTTTAAAGTATATACATAGATCAAAGGAAATGTTTCATCTCTCATAACAGCTAAATTATTAGTTGCAGAGAGATGAAAATACTTCCCCCTGATGGGGCACTCTGTGCGTCACACCGACACCTAAAAAAACATATTTGTGGTTTAGGTAGAAGGCCAGGAAAATGCAGGAAATGGTTAGGTGGCGCTGGAGTGCGACAGTCGAATGGTGTTTGGTACTGTCGCAATCGGACTGATGCGCTGGTGTCTGAAATCCAATACCCGACTTGGTGTTTCAAGCCGGTCTTGGTCTGATTGAACTTGGGCAGGTCAACACCCAGAACATCCTGTGGGCGGGTACAGGAACACCCCCCAGGGTCAATTGGCCGAGGACTAATGTCCCACCTACGTCCATATCCCATAAAAGGAGTTCCCGGGCATTGGGACATTTGTGATTCGTATGGAGCTGGTTCAATTTGGCTGACGCTCTGACTTGCTCCAGGCGCAGGATAGATCTCGGTAAAAGTTTTATTCCCTTTTATTTTATAGTGAAGTCATTTGTGTGTCTTCTTGTATTTCTGTAACTTTTTTATATTTTGTATATATTTTATGCTCCGCCCACTTTCGGGAAATTGCAGCTTAAAAATAATTAGTGACTTCTGTGTATTTAAGCTCGGGCTCATATCTCCGGAGAGATTAGATTGGAGAGATTAGATTGTATCGTATTTTAGTGTCTTTAAACACTCGGTCAAGCTCATTTCCAATCTGTATGCAATGGCACTGTGTGTGGGCAGATTGTAAAAGGTAACAGATCTGCCAGACGGAGATCTGTGTGTGTGGGGTGTCTCTGCGGATAAACTGTTGGGTGGTGGCAGGCTACCTTTTGTGGTGTGGGGGGGGGGGGGGGGGGGGTGGACAGTGGAAGGGTGATAACACCGGGGTTCAAGCTGTAGGATAGCTGGAGGGACTCTAGAAGGGTGTGATTACTAAGCTGGTCCTCAACTCTAATCAGTGTACCAGATTGTATGTAAGATTTGTATCTGCCAGTGTGTGGTCGACCAGCTGGATTGGAGTCTCCCCCCCATCAATGTCCAATCTGCAGTCTGGTCCGCCCCTTGGGTCTCCCCATCAATGTCCAATCTGCAGTCTGGCCACCGCCCCTCGGATCTCCCCCATCAATGTCCAATCTGCAGTCTGGCCACCCCTCGGGTCTCCCCCATCAATGTCCAATCTGCAGTCTGGCCACCCCACCGGGTCTCCCCCCATCAATGTCCCCCCCCCCCCCGCCCCCCACCCCAGTCTGGCCACTCCAATCTGCAGTCCCCCCTTGGATCTCCCCCATCCCCCATATCAATATCCAATCTGCAGTCCCTGGCCACACCCCACCGGGTCTCCAATCCCCCCCCCCCCCCCCCACCCCCCCCCCCCCCCCCAATCCCCCCCACCCCCCCCCCCCCCCCCCCATATCAATATCCAATCTGCAGTCTGGCCACCCCTCGGGTCTCCCATCAATGTCCAATCTGCATGGCCGCATCCCCACGTGTCTCCCCCCCCCGCCCCCCCCCTGGCCCCCCCCCCCCCATCAATGTCCCAGTCTGGCCCCCCACCATTCTATCTCCAATCTGCAGTCTGGCCCCCCCTCGGGTCTCCCCCCATCAATGTCCAATCTGCAGTCTGGCCGCCCCTCGGGTCTCCCCCCATCAATGTCCAATCTGCAGTCTGGACATTCTTCTACTACATCCCTTCATTCGCGATCATTGAGGAATCTTAATTTGTCCAAACATGTCAATACCTGAGGAAGTCACGTGACCTGTGACATAACGCGTAGGACGGAGGCGGGGCGACGTAATTTCCAGGCATGGAACTGCAGCCGCCATCTTGCTACATCCAGGCAAGTACACCCTGTAGGATTTTTCCTGTAAGTGGGTATTTGGCGTGTGTTGCCTTAGTAAGTAGCCTCATTTACTACACTACGGGAGTCCTTTTTTCTTACCTCTTTATAGGGATCGCTTGAGAGGCTATCCGGTCCATCATCGGTAGGAGGGGGTACCACCACTGTTGGATTACTGCTAAAGGTCTCAAAGGAATGGAGACCACTTCACTGAGCGGCGTTTTGAGTTGGTCCCTAGGGGCCACAGCGTGGAGGTGAGTGGGCATGCTAGCCGGGGGTGGATACGTTCGATAAGGGGGGTCCCCGTACCTGCCACCCACCATTGTCTGCATGGAGTCATACTGCTGGATTATACACGGAGTTATATAGGATATTAAGAGGAAAGTTCATATTTTTTGATATTACGTCGGGTAAAATCTGAATTTTATATATTTTGAATGTCATATTAATGTTTGTTTGTATAAATTGATCATTTGAAAAACTTGTAATAAAATATTTAAATAAATATTAAAAAAAATTACAATAAAAAAAAATAAAACAAAAAATAGATGGAGTTATTTTGGACTGTTTTTGTTTAGTTGACATTTTTTGGCACATTTGTCTTTTTTATGATATATGTCATTTTTCACGTCTGCATTTGATACACTCGTTATCTATCGTGGATTACGTCCTCCATGTGGTATGTTATCCACGATCACGTGTTTTTGTGGCCACGTTTTCACCTCTATGTGTCTCGATCATCTGTTTGCTCTCTTGGAGCATTTTGTTCACCATTGTTGGCCTTGCTCACCTTTTCTTCTATACAGGAGGGACGTGGCACCCCTGTCCACGTCATTGTTCCCCACCTTGCCGGGGGGGGTTTCTCATTTTCTGCACATTGAATATCACTTTTTATGTATTTTCTGATCCCGTATTTGCTGTCACTTCTTCACGTTTTTTTTTTCCTGTTTTTTTCAGCATTATCCTTGTTTTTTCATCAGTTGTATCCATTATGGTGTTTATACACTTCTAGAGGATTGGCGCAGCGCCGCCCTCGCTCTGTACAATCCCTCCATGATTGATACCCACAATATCACGCTCCCCATCCTTCACATCACGCTCCCCATCCTTCACAACATACATGTGCTTTACATGCTCCTCTGTTGTAGTAAATACCCGGCTCGGTTTTCTATTATAAAGACTAACGGGCAAAAATATGCAAAAAAAACAAAATCAACATTTGCGGTTATTTGACACCGTTTTTCCAGCGGCTCTTACCTGAAGCTGCCGTCACTGGCATCACACACATGTCGCATCGCAGAGGAGGACGTACCGAGGAGCGGCATATATGAACACTGCCAGCAAGGAGACCGAGCTGTCACTGACAGGACCAGCTCCCGGTCATGTGATCACCGTGACAGCCAATCACCACACTCCAAGACTCCCGACCCTGGACTCCCGTTCTCCATCTTTGTACCATTTCCTCCAACCTGGAGGGACAGAAGGATGTAAAGACAGAAATGTTATAATAATTACATGATAATAAGATTCATAATAAAATGATGATAATAAATAATAATCTCGTTGGGGCCGGAAGGCTGACGCCATGTTCTGGGGCTCCCCGGCGCACGCTGGTGGGTTCCGCCCATCTTCAGGTACATGCGATGACATCAGCTGATCGCGGCTGCAATGCTTTCGGGGCTCAATTGGGAAAATGATAATAAAGTCACTTTTAAGCTTTCTCTAAGTCAGGGTCAAAGGTCAGGGTCAAGGGTCAAAGGTCAAACGGTCAAGGTCAAAGGTCAGGGTCAAGGGTTTTAGGTAGGATAAAAAAAAGCACTGTACAGATCCTTGGACCTTCATCATACAGGAATAATAGGGAGATATGAGGGGGGACAGGGTGGTATGAGGGGGGGGACAGGGACAGGGTGGTATGAGGGGGGGGACAGGGAGATATGGGGGGGGGGGACAGGGAGATATGAGGGGGGGCAGGGCGTATGAGGGGGGGACAGGGAGGGAGATATGAGGGGGGACAGGGCGGTATAGGAGGGGGGGATCAGGGAGATATGAGGGGGGACAGGGCGATATGAGGGGGGGACAGGGAGATATGAGGGGGGACAGGGAGGGCGGGATGAGGGGGGGACAGGGAGATATGAGGGGGGACAGGGCGGTATGAGGGGGGGGACAGGGAG